CTTCAAAGCTATGGGGAGGTGGGCTGCAAGTTGCTGACCATGAGGCCTTCATGAGATCGATGAGGTTGATGAGATTCCAAGAAGATTTCTTCAAGAGCTTTGAAAGCTGCTTGATGCTGATGAAGGACATTCATGACCGTCTGACCGTCGGGTGATCTTTTTACTTGGCAAAGTAGTAGGCTGTACGAACCTGCGTATCTTTCCTATTGAGGTTGGCACCTGAGCCTAAGAGTACGGCAACCATCTGTGGATTGGTCTGCTTCACTGCTTCATGGATTGGGTAAGTCACCCACCATGTTCCTTTCTTGTGGTTGGGGGTTCCCGGATCGAAGGCGTTCTCCTCAAGGAACTTCTCCGCCGCAAGACAGGCGATTTGTTTGCCAGTGGGAAAATTCCTTAACATGTCTTAAGAATTTCCTTAACATACTTTGGGCAAAGTCAGGTCCTGATGTGCCAAAACGATCAGGTCCATCTTGTCCATGTTGTCCATTTCGTTTGGGTTCCCAGATGGGGTGCCTAGCTGAAGTTACAGCGCCTGCATGTCCTAGAGCAGCCTAGACAGAGTCCAAAACTGCCAGCCGCAGATCAAATCAGCAAGACGTGGCCAGTATGCAGATCAAATGCTTTTAAAAACTTTTACGGCTTGTTTTAAATATGTTTTCCAGTATGTTTTGATGTGTTTTCAGTAGAGCTTTCAGTATGGTACAGTATGATTCAGATTGATTCAGTGCGTTTTGATGCAAGACATGAAATTCATGGTTCTTTCACGTTCTTGCATGCTCTTTTTATCTCCTGTGAAATGAATGGCACTGCAAGTCTTGACATCTGACCCTCAGGTTGCACTGCGACCGAGGTTGCAACATTTTTTTCAAGCTCTCCATCTGCTTGGCCTTGCGAGCAGCTTCCCAGGCTTTCTTCGCTTCTTTATCTTGGCTGGCCTAGAAGGCAGCGGCCGAAACATCGCCGGACCCTCCTGGACTCTCCTGTGACTCTCCCCGATGTCAAAATGATCCTGGGATATGCTATATATGCTATATAAATTATACAGGTTATATACTATAATTATAGGTTATATACTATAATTATAGGTTATATAATGTTATACAAAGGTTATTGGTGTTTTTTGATGTCTTTTGGTTTTGGAGCCTTTCCTGCGACTGTCACGCCATCGCTTTCTCGCCTGGTCCAGCGAGGAATTCACCATCACAGCGGTCACCTGAGTGCCAGCACTGACATTGCGATGTATTGTGACGTACTGTGCCAGCACTGACAGCATTCAGACTCCTGCCTCAGTCTGACTCCTTGCCTTTCTCAAATCTAGGATAAGCATCTACGCCATTCATCTGCGTTCCACTCTCCGCGATGGAATGTGCTGAATTCAACACCAGAGAAATATTTATATAAGTTTAAGTCATTTTACAACATTTGGGAAGAGAGAAGGGGCTTGCACAGTTTCTTGCACGGTGCAAGCTAACAAGCGCTTCTTCTCAGGACTCCACGAGATTCATCAAGGCAATTGACAAGATCAACATGGCTAAAACAAAGTAGACCTCAGGGTGCTCAGTGTGCTCAGCGTGGCAAAGAAATTCAAAGAATCTCTCCAATTCCTGTTTGACGAAGAGGTGCAAGATTGAACAGTGCCAAAGTTGCAAAGAAACTATGAACGCGCATGTATCATTGCTCTACACCTGCATGATAATAATAATAGTAGTGGTTTCTTTTCACAATGGATTCGCACAGCCTAAGAAGCCTTGTGGGAATGTGCTTACTTTGTAGCCAAGAAGCAAAACAAAAGACATTCTGCTTGACTAATGGTCGGTAGATGCCACCGATGCTATCAAAGCCTCAAAGTTGTCCATGTTCTTCAAAGATAAAGCTGTTGTTCAAGCAAATTTGCGTTCCAAGACATAGAAGTCGTGTTCACAGAGGAATCAAACAACTGCATGGGAAGCTGGTTTAGTTGGTTGGGTTCAGAACTAACGCCTCCTAACGTGGTCTATGGGAGTGCAACATGCGACAACCTTCCATAGCTTGCCACAGCTCACAACTTGCCACAACTTGCCACAACTTGCCACAACTACAAAGCATTTGGACACTGTCGAGTCTGTCGAGTCTGTCGAGGTGCTAAAAACCTGAAGCAATGTGAGAATCGCATCCATCGTGTCGCGGAAACAGAGCGATGCAGCTGCATTGTACCTTGGGGAATGCGTGGCGCATGTGTGGTGCATGTGGTGCCTTGAATGTTTGACCCCGACCGGTGAAACGGTAATCTCACATCGGGAAAGATAGGAAAGGCAACTTAGTTAGTTGACACAGCCATGTACAGTAGGAGACGAACCAAAAGAGGTACGAGTAACAAGTTGCCTCTAGGATTGCTTTAATGTTGCTGAATCGATTCCCAGATTCCCAGCTGGGAGACTTGACAAATCTCCGAGTGAAGCAGAAATGTTTCTGAGCATCCCAGTATTTTGCAACATGTATTTTACCCATTTTTACATGTCCAACTTTGTTCATCTTTGTCCCACTTGAACTGTGCAACTTGAAGTCCAGTCTTCACAGTCTTGACACGGGTGGTCCACTGGCAATTCCTGGTCAACTTTGATCAACTCCATGCCCGTCACAGCAGCGATGTACATCAGGAGCATCACCTGCGAGTGTTGTGACGGCATGACGGCAATATCAGCAGATCAGATTGCGCACGGCAGATTGACATAGACAGAGATTGACCAATCGGATCCAATCGGATTGCAAAGTTGTCCCCTTCAAACTGACCAGACTTTCTATGACTTTCTATGACTTTCTATGACTTTCTACCCGTCATGTGCATCAACTCTCCCGTGCCATCCCTAAGCCCCGCACAAGCAAGAAGGTCCAGAACAGTGTGCCAATGCTATGGAAAAGACCTCCCAGCTGTGTCTTGTGTCCACTGTGTCCACCTTTTTCAGTTCAGTGAATTTCCAGACTGCCTAGACAGTATGCATGTTCACCTTTGTGTTGCAATATGTTGCAATATGCTGGAATATGTTGCATTTTCATGCGTTTTCCCCTTTCAACATTCTTTACCTGTTCAAAAAAAAAACAAACACGGCCAGCTTCCAAAACGCTGTTTCGCTTCTCTCATTCTTTCCCGTGAGCTCCAGCTCGGCCCCGGCCAGGGCCAGCTCGGCGCCTTGTACAAGTTGCCACAACGTCTGGAATTGGACTATGAGGCGCAATGCCCTGCAAAGTGAAACATTTCTCAAGAATTCTCAAACTCTCAAAGTTTCTCAAACACAAACATATCAAAGTGTTAAAACGTCACAAAACCTCTCAGCGCGAATCGAACATTGCTTCAATCTGCTCCACTTCTGGCTTTAGTCACTTTAGCCATCTTTGATCATCTCTGGCCACCTTTCCGCCCTCCCAGCAGCCTGGCCAATCGTGCCAACCGCAGCAGTCTTACCTGTGGCAAAACTGGAGGCATCTTTGGTAAGCTGACATCAGTTTATGTGTGTTGCGACATTTTGCGACTGTGATCAAAGAGCGGTTTATCATGGTTTATGGATGTTTATGGATGTTTATGGATGTTTATGGTTCATAATGGCTTATCGCTTTAAATCTTTAGAATCCCATGGAATCCCATGGAATCCCTGAGCCAAGACACGAGCATCACCTGGTTCAAGACTTCAGTAGTCGACACCAAATTCACGATGATGTCCACGGTTGAGGCCTCAGATCTCGCCACGCTAGACCGCAACGCCACGCCGCTAGCGGCGCCACACATTCATTGCAATTCATTGCAAATTTTGCAAACGCATTCGTTTGAAACACGTGATTCATGTGATTCGTCAAACTTCCTTGACCAGAATCCCAAACTGAGCATCAGACTGTCACCAAGAATGTGTCAAACTTCACCCTCAGTTTGCTTCCCGCAACGGGCGTGACACCGTAAGTCCTTCTTGTTGCAAAATGAGAAGTTGCACGAATGTGTTCAATGTCCGAGCTTCCAGTGGCTCTTCAGCACCAACACTCCATAGACAGCAAAGCGTAAGACCAGCTCAGTCAAGTAGACAGCATAGAAGCAATAGTCCACCTTGGCCAAAAGTCCATGAAGACCCTCGGCACTGAATGCTTCAGGTTGCAGTCATACTGGCCCCCCACCATACCAAACAAGGTAACACAAGGCGGAAAAGTCTGTGCACCGAACCCCAGCCAACATAACTCGACCAGAATTTGTGAGGAAAGCGAACTGGTTGGTAGGGACATTAGAAACCACTGCAAGTCTGTGAAAGTCTGTGAAAGTGGGAAAACAGATGTCAAGGCTGTTCAGATTCTCAAACTCCAGCAACTTTGCTGTCTTTGCTCGTCTCAGAGGCAAGTTCCAGATCTCTCCAAGGGACCCTTGTACGGTTTCAGCGGTTTCAGCATCCCAAATCTGGAGTTCCAAAGGACCAATGTGTCAATTCATCAAATGGACGAGAGACGACTGTGAGCCACATAGAAGGCTTGGTGCAAACCTGTGTTGGATCTACCTGGTCCTGTCGGGGCCAAAACAGGATCTGCAAATCCTGATGGCTGGGAATCCATCAGAAAACCATAGAAAACCTAGGTTATCAATACGTTATCTATATAATATAACTGATTATAAAATATTTATAAAATATTATAAATGCCTCTACCTCACACATCCTCACATCGAGTCAAAGCATCGCCACATGTCGCATGAGACTCGCTCTCCCGGCTCTCACCTTGCAGTCGCAGTCCATCGAGCATCCCAGCGGCATCCAGGCGCGTGCCTGACTTTCCATGCCAATTACCACCTAAGACAACGAGATCAAGACGACGTGACGACGTGACAAGATCCAGGGGAAAACCTGGGGAAAGCCTGGGCCACCTGGGCCACCTGGGCCACCTGGGTCAAGGAGCAAACAAAACACAACAGACAACTCTCATGGCAACCGGTTTTTGACGGCCCAATATATAGAGACCTGGAAACGATACGAAGCAATTGGAAAGCTGGCCTAGCACAAGAAATAGATGGACCTTACTGGCTATTCCACTTCAAATGTTCCAAATTTTGATGTTGTGATGTTCCTGTTCGTTTATGTTCATGCAGTTCATTGGGCAATCAGACATATCTTCCTTGACTCCCTGGAAGCCATCAGGACCCGGTGTTGCAAAGGCACTGCGTTGGCCAAAATCACCATGCCAATCATGGTGTCGAAGCCCCACCACGAAAGCCATTCTGAGCGGGAAAATACATCAGCAGAAATGACCAGAATGTAAGATTCAGGAATCGCCAAAAAATGCAAAACACAATGTGGAAACGGTCGTACAGTACTTTTCCGTGCTTGGTTGTTCACTAGTTCCCTGATTCACTGATCTGTTTTGTCCAGATCAAACAAGTAGAAAGATAGATAGATAGATAGATAGATAAATAGGATCGATAGGATCGATAGGATCGATAGGATCGATAGGATTGATTAGATTAGATTAGATTAGGTTAGATTAGATTAGATTTAGATTAGATTAGATTAGATAGATAGATAGGCTACAAGCTTCAAACAAGTATCAATCATTTTTGATATCTGAAACGCAGGGGTCCTTGAACCACAACTCTTCTGCGCTCTTTGAGTTCAGCGTCCAAACATGAAACCGAGTCTAGTTCTGCAACCTAAACCTCTGGTTCCAAATGTTGCCCATATGAATCATCATATGATCCCATATGAATCGTCTTGTGAACTTTATCTACTTCTTCGCGGCAGAATGGACTGTTCCTTTAAAATCTATTCACGGGTAAATTTTATATAGATGCACATGCTTTACGCTTTTCCGGTCTTGGCAACTGTCATCTACAAGCAGCACAGAAACCCACAGCTGGCTGGATATCTACCAAGCTTCTATGCAGCACCTGAGCTCAATATACACAGCTTGTGACTTCAAGGTGGAGAAGGAAAGGGAAAGAAAGCTACTCCAAGATGATCTCCAAGATGGAAATTATCACTAAAGGAGCCGCAAATCAGTACAAGAGAGGCACCTTCAAATGGGGAAAAATTGAAAACGACACCGGAAAATCGGAAAACGTCTGGAAACTCCGGTGACATGCGAGGCCCGTGACTTCTCCAGTTTCCACATGTTTCCACCAAGTCCTCCAAGTCTGCCAAGTCTGCCAAGTCGCCAGTCTCGTTCCAGTGAAAGTGCTCGGATCTGTCTTCAAAGCCTCAGGTCAATCGCGGTCCATCGTCAACGTGTCAACAAGTCAATGCTTCAGTGATTCAGGAAATTCATGGAAGTTCAAGAATTTGGGAAATTCGAAAAATCATCGGGAAAAAAATAGCCGACTCTGACTCTGCATGTTGTACATCTGCAAGCTTGCATATCTCTAATTCCAAAATATTCCAAATACATGGATTGATTTATCAAATTTTATCACATGAATTTGAAATTAGGACTGAATTTTGTGTCCTCTCTATTGATCATCGCCATCTGCCAACTTGAATTTAAACCTTCCGAGAGACTGCTTGAATCTCTGCTGCTTTGCCACCAAAATTCACTTTCCTTGAAAACAGGGCAAGAAGAAGTGCAAAACTTTGGAAGGAACAAATGCCCGTACTGATTACCGTATGTTATCATTTAATGTATATCATATGCAGGCAAACACGATTCAAAGATATTCAAAGTCTGTGACTGTGAAGTTCTCAAGCAGTCTCAAGGGCTCTACATGGCTCTACGCTACATTCATGGCTTGTGCGGATTGTCACGGTCACAGCTTGGAAAGTTCATGTCAAATCTTGAGAAGTGCAGCTTTCTGAGACGAGAAGCAGGTCGTAAGCCTCCCGATGAAATGAGACAGTGAACAAGAAGAATATCAATTTGGCAAATCAGAAATGGGGCTGAACTTTCAATTGCATGAGGGCAAGTAGAGCAACAGAATGTGAATCCAGCCCAAACATGTCCAAACACTGCAAACTTGGAGGTTTCCCTGAGAAAGGTTTCGATTCAGCCCTCGCCGAAGTTGTTTCACCTGAGAATCTCAGCATCAGATGTCTTGGTGTCACGATATTCGGCATGATATTAACGTTTTTTTGGGGGGTTGTTATATTACAATTCAATGATTTGCATAACTTCCTAAAGTGGTAAGTAGCATTAGGCAACCACCAGGTGTCATGAGCGTCGTTATGGTGCCTGCGCTAGCTTGTCCTGATGCGCTGTGAACTCTTCGTTCTCTTCGAAGACTTCCTGGCGATGGCAAAACTCAGCAAGGACTCAGCCAGGATCGAGGATGGATCGACGATCTGCAGTTGATGAACCTCGTTATCGAATCATCGAGGTCGTTGAAGTTGATGAACTATTTCGACAGATTCGGGAAATGTCTTCAATAATTCAGCTTGTGCTTTTGTCCTTTCAAGAGCTTTGAACTGATCACCAAGACTATTCATGCGCTTCCAATTTGTGCAAGCAGCAGTGACATTTCGACTTACCTGGAAACCATCCGGGGCATTCTTGAGAGATGCATCTCACAGAGCACGCAATAACTTTTGATGACAAAAAGACCATTCTGGAGTTCCCACTGGTCTTCGAGGCTTTACACTGAAACGAGCTACATGTGCGGCAACAAGTTGTTTTACCCACAGGAGGGGTTCAGTACGGACCAGCATCCCAGTGCCAGGCGTTTTTCCAAGGAGAAGATTTGCACCCGTCAAAAGGATCTATATACTTTATATAAAAGGATTAAAATCTCCCACCCGTCAAACAATTACACTCCAGACTCGCCACAAAAGCGAAAAGTGGGGAAAGGACGACACGCATGAAGTTCGCAGAGGGTTCACTTTTTTGTTTGATTTTCCTAAAAATGCGTCTTGGGACATACAAACGCACAGATGTACCAAGGTGATAAAACACTGTGCCTGCGCAGTGAAATCAACCTCCTTAGGACGTTAACTAATCCATTCCGGGCAAACCCTCCGTCCTAAATGTTGATTTTACTGAGAATGCAAACAGTTTATACTTGTGTTCAACATATGTCTTAAAGAGTTCAACATCAAACAAAGTACCCATCTTTGAAATATCTAGCTGAACTCTTCATAATATGTTCACCACAAACCTGCATATGGTTGGAACAGATACTTGACACGTGTTGAACAAGTTCAATCAACTCAATCTCGCACAATCCACCTAAAACATCTAAGACATCTACAACATCTATGTCTACAACTAATACATATATGATATATATATATATATATTATACATAATTTTATAGAATTTTATATCATCAACGCAAGGAGATGCAACGAGCACGTCAACTCCCAAGCCTTGAGCACGTCCGTCTTCGTGACGTCGACCACGTGCGCCTCGTCCGACGAGTGGCTGGGCCGGGGCGGCATGGCCTTCTCCTACGGCACGAAAGACATCGAAAGACGACAGAAAAATCCATGATGAAAATCTGATGAAATACTGTGTGCAATGGCAAGGTGACAGAGAAATCCATGGAACGACACCATTTTCTGAGCTGTTGCTGTACTGTTTTTTTCGGTTTAGAGAATCTAATCTAGTCCTCGAACACATGAATGAACGAAACAAGACAAGATCTGGGAGAAGATAGATCTTAGTTATAGAGCAGACAGGGCAGAACTCCCAAACATGCACAAAATGATATGATTAAACTGCACCTTTGTAGTTCCCCGACGCTTGCGACTTTACACATTGGACTTGTGTTTTCAAATTGGTCCTGGGGTTCTCTCCAAGCATCGTCCATTGGCCTGTGCAGTTTGTCAAGCTGTCCATGCCATCAAGAGGTACACACACACACACAAACACACACATCGTCGATTCCTCTGCGTGTTCGGTTCATTGGGATGTAGAGTAAGTGACAAGGGATAGAGTCGAGCATGAGTCAAAACGTTTTTTTGGAAGAGTGAAACGTGTCGAAACGTGTGAAATTACTGAAGATCACCGCCACTGTGAGACGAACGCCGCACGTTGCAATTGCTGACAACTGAAGCAGCCTGGAGGCAGGGCAGAGGTGCCATTGCGGAGTATCGCTTGAGCCAGCTGCAGAACATCTCGATTAGTCGGGATTGTCAAGAACGACAGCTACCCCCACGGCTGCACAGGTTGGTCCATCACGGTCACTGAACTCTGAAGTCATGTCAAGTCAGTATCAAGTCATGTCGAATCTGTCTTTGCTCAACCAACTCAACAAAACTCCTATCTCTGCACTTTGGGGGATGGACTGTAGAGCCTCCCTCTCCTGCCTTCCCCATCCTTTCCCATCCTTTCCCACGTTTCCTGTCGAAATCCACAGATCTATGCAGGTCTGTGGAGTGTGGAGGGAGGTCTTCGCCAAGAAGCTCCGTTGGTGCCCAGGAAGGCAAAGCATTCACCCAAGCGCAAGCCGAAGGTCAGGCTTTGGACTGCCACCTGTTCACATCAAGTCTCTTCAAGTCTCTTCAAGTCTCAAGGTCATTCATCAGCATTATAAAATATTATAAACATTTCTAAACTGTCTCAATCATAGATGTCATAGATCAACATCGAAGGAGTTTAGAGTTTAGAGTTTAGAGTAGACTAGGATCAGCAAGTGATGGATAAACTGCTTCAATTGAGGTGTCGGAAATGCTGAAGAAACTTATAGCTCAATAGCTCTAACATGTTCTAACACTTCAACACAGCCAGTTCTAGTTGTTCTGTGAAATTACAGACCATGTCTTGTACGTTGTTTGAGTAGATGGAGTAGTTCTTCAACTGGGAATTGTTAGTTCTTTAAAGTTCCTTATTCGGACACGAGCCTTTGGAGCTCCCTCCGGTGTTCGATAAACCTGACGAACTTGAAGATTCAGCCACAAATGCTCAATGCCACTGCGAGTATTGTGGCAATGCAAGCAGAAACACTGGACTCGCCCTCCAGCTTTCTAGCTGTTGAACCCAAGAGAAATCAAGTACAGTATCAAGTGCCCAGAAGGGCCAAACCTTGAAGGTACTACGGACCCGTTGCAATTCTGACCTCCAATACTCCTCTTTTCAAGCTCAGAATGGGCTCTATATATGGACTATAGATTCCGAAGCCGAACTCAACCTGACATAGAAATCTTGAAGTTTCAGTCCGACCAAGTCCGACCATATGGGAGCTTTACAGGCCTGCCAGTGTGTGCTTTCCAATGGCAGTAACTTCGTGCCGGGTCCCACCTTTCTGAGCTTCTCCAAGCGGACGACATCGTCGTTGCCTCCGCCATCCTCGATACGTTTGGCTTCTGCTGCGACGTCCGGATCATCCTGGAACCAGCAGACAACAAAGCAGTCACAACGAAGCATTCACAGCAGCTACATCATATCAAACGTGTTGGACATATTTGGGACATATTTGATCATGCATTGTATTACAATACGTGATGTTCCAAGATGTTCCAAGGTGTCACATCACCAAACACCTGGAAACCAGCTCGCCAAGAAAACCGAGTGAAATGAGCTATACAAATCTACCCTCCGAAAAGATGTCTCGACGAAACTGGGCAAAACTTTGAGACATTGAGGCTGACATTGAGGCTATCTAGGCTATCTGTCGCTGTATTCGAATTATTAGATTCTCATAGATTCTTAGATCCTTTGTCATGCGCCTCGATGTCTCTCTGCTGCAGAACTGGATCCAAATGTCGAGATGACGCAGCCAGTGGCGAATGCATCAAGAAATCGATCAACCTCAAGCGCTTCTAAGATCTTCTGAGCCAGTTCCAACAGATTCCAACCGAAGAATTTAACAAACTGCCAAGTTTGACGGAATTCCAATTGTTCAGAGTAAACTCCACAGGCCACAGGTCAAGGCTTGCACAGCCGTGCTCAAAAAATCTCTGTCTGCTGAGGGCCACACACGGTCAAGAAGAAATAGCTGGGAGCCAAGATGTACCTGCACAACTTGCACATCTGGGCATATCCATGTAGGGCAGAGGGTGGCAGATGGTTGCAGCATGTTGCAGCCCCGCAGGGCACATGCACATTGCATCTTTGCCAGCCACATCCCACTCCAGCAGTGCCACTTCGGTGTTTAGCTGTCGAGAGATCACCGAGTTCGTGCAAATCCTCGCCGTCTCCCAGAAATTTACACACATCTACATGGTCTACATACATGATATAGGCCTAATATAGGCTATAGGCTATACAAGCAGTTATATAATGTATTATAATGTATTATAATGTTGTATAGTGAATATAGTGATATCGGCATCACAGCCGTCTTGGAACCTTTGTGAAAATTGTGAAATAGAGAGTTTAGTCAAGTTGAAACGATGAAGATAATGAAGAAACCTGCCAAGCGCAGAAGGCGGGAGACTTCTCCAAAAGCAACCCCGATCTGGCATGATCTGGCTCAATAAATTGTTGCTTCTGTAAAGCCTTTGAAGCAAATTTGAAGCAAGACACTGGTGACCAATCTAGGTCAGAGTTTGTTTGGGCCCAGCAGAAGCGAAATTTGACAGGTTAGTTTAAAATCCATCACCATGTCATGCAAGCTCATCAATCCGACTTGCTGTCAGCCAAAAAACTCGAAAAGACCATGCCCAAGACAAAAACCTGGGAAGAGTCGATAGATCCACATCAGTGATTCGTTCACGTCCTCAGCATCGGACTTGCAGCATTTTGCAGCCAACTCTAACCACACAAAGCTAAGGAAAAGGGGCAGCTTCCAAAGACGACCAGTGGATGTTTCAGCCCTGCTTTCGGACATGCAAATATAACCAGATGTTCAATCATGTCCTAGCCGCTTCTAGCATATCTATCTGGGGATTCCCTCTTTCAAATATCTTGATCTTTTTTCTGGCATATCTGCTTTCATGCCGATCACCTTCAGGTGTTGTTCATTGACCAATGTGCTTGCCGAGAAACAAAGGAACACATGACACTGATGTTAATTTTTGTGTAATGATGATTATACTATGTCATAATGATCCACTCTGGACTGCGTCTTCAAAGTGACGTGCAATTTTGTGGTTCCACTCGTCTTTCTGAGAGAGTGTGACGCTTGCTAATGCTGCTGTGTGAGCCTTCGTATTCTTGATGAGGTTGAGGATGTAAGACGTCAGCATAAGAAGGAGTCCCGTGAGGAAATTTAAGACCTGACACAGGTTCGAATGTCGCAAGCTTGGCAATTCAATTAAGTCCAGCACAGATCTGTGGATTTCAATGAAGTCTTGCAACTGCCGTGTATTCGATGCAGATGGGTCTACTTTTTTGTGGTAGAGGCAAAAATTTTAGCCTTGCCAGAGTTTCAGGAGATTCACGCAGCAAAGGCCAGTTTGCCGGCCCTCCACTACTTGACTCACGATACTCACTTGGCCCCGAGCAAGCGATAAAATCTGAGCAGAGGTGTGCTTAGCAAACAGAAAGGACAACCTCAAAGCAAGAGACACTGCAACCGCACCCGGATCACACCAAGCACTCTCGAAACCTACATAGTAGAAAGGAAGCTGACAAAAAGAGGCAGCCAGAGGAGCTAGTCTGTTTCACCCGTGAGCGTTAAATGTATCACCGCTTTCAGTTCTCGTTTTGCAGAGTGACAAATATGAGAAAGGAGCGACTGCCAGGCCGTACCCTGCACACACAGCGATGACACAGCGCAAAGTTGGAAAGATTGGTGAGAGATGGTGAGAGACGGTCAGAGTCCCAGTGAGTTTCGGATTGTCAGATTTTAAAAGAACCATAAAGAACCTATCCACAGTCCACCGGAGTCCACCGGAGTCCACCGGAGTCCATATGGAAACAGAGTTCTGTCCTGCAAAGATCACGAAGCTTGCCCATAGAGCACCTGCAGCACTTTCGAACTTTGTCTCGACACAAGGACAAGGACGGTCTATTTGGATTGGCATCATTGGAATAGAAGTGTCTGCATGCTGCAGTAAGCTTCAACGATCTGATCACAGAGCTTGGAAGGCACCATGTTGCACAAAGGCATTGATACCTCAGTGAATTCTGAGCAACGGTGCACTGGAAACCTTGAGAATGAATGATCAAAAAGAAAGATCAAAGTCACTTCCATTGCTCATGATTGCTCTCTTCCATTGGAGTCACTGGAGACTGTGAAACCAAGAGAACCCAAAAGTGGCAGGATCGATCGGATCGATCTTTGCCGCCAAGATTCCAAAGAGCCACAGGAAGAGAATCGTGAAAGCAAGAGGCAACACCTCATTTTCATGGCGTCACAAAGCCACTATCAGTGATGGCTAATCACATTGCAGCAGACTCCACACAGTTCAGTCCAATGTGATACTAGCAACATTGGTCTTGACCGTCCGGCTTCACAAGTCCTTTTTTCATCTTGAATTAATTTTGGTGCATTCTGGGCACTGCACCAGAACAGTCGCAAGATCAAGGCACTTTTACAACAGACGTGGAGGGCGGGCAATGGAGTGGTGCGTAGATTGATAGACGCAAAAATTGTCATTTCAGCTTAAGGAATGTATAAACATGCCAGTTTCAAAACATAGAAGACTTCTTGCACCAGGCTATGGTCCAGTCGCGAAACATCAGCCATAATCCCTGAGAACTTTGACCCAGTCTGGAAACAGCCTGACCTTGACCCCCCTCGATTCCTCACGATCTCATCGAGGTCACAAGGCTATCAAAGCTTACAGCAAATTGTTTCCAAGAAGACCAACTTAACTGAAGTCTTAACAAGCTTAACTGCTTAACCATTCAGGAGTAACTTCTGAGCCAGTTTCAATCACTCAGTGCATCACACCTGGAACCCTGTGCATCTCAGCAGCATAGAGACATACATCCCACAAGAAGTTTGAAGTCCAGTACCTAAAAATCACTGCAAACACTGCAAACTAGGAAGCACAAAGCAAGCCAAAGCGAGCTGCATTGGGGGTCAGGGCTGAACATGCTGAACTTGGCGCACGCAAAAATGCTGACGCCGGAGATCAGTTGCTGGTGCTTTGAGTTGTGGTGGGCCTGAAACTCTGCAAATCGAGAGGATAAGTCACGAGGAGTGAGGAGAAAAATACACGGAATGTGACAGAAGATGACAAACAAACTATCTGAATAAAATACATGTATGTATTAGTATGTGTATATATATACATGTATGTGTGTGTGTGTGTGTGTGGGTGATGTCTGTGTTCCACTTCCTTCTATTCTGCACGACCCTTCTGCGCTGATCTCACTATTGCTGCAGCTACAACTGTCAATGCGGAGGAATCAACACACAATTTCCAACCAATGGAGCAGCCTAAGGTGACAGCTAAGTCTGCTAAGTTCCAAACTACTTCTGCCGCTTCTAAGTTTTTGGCTATGACGCTTGAGCTCTGATCTTGTACCGTCTGATGTCTATTGGGATCTATTTGGCTCACCTCACGCTCTCGCACGACGTAGGCAACAATGGCAGGTGGAATCCACGAGAAGGCAATAATGATGACCTCAGGACATGTCCCAAATACCGTGATTGCCGTGATTGCCATAAACAATGCAAACAATTTGGCAAACAATTCATTCTCTGTTCTCGTCTGTTCTCCCATCCTCATTTTTGTTCCTGACTTTTAGACTTTCAAATCTTTCAAGTTTCCAAGCGTCTCATCATGAGCGAGAGAGGATGATACAGTAAGTTACCTGCTATGGTGGTGGTTTACCAGCATTGTGCCAATTGGCAAATGGGCAAAGGCATGTCACAGTTGTGCAAGCGCTGATTTTCCGCTAGTAAATCTGTCCAAAACATTTACAAAATGGTGCGCAGCTCGCTCTTAGCGTGCCCATGCGCGAAGCTGGCTGCGGGAATACCTTTGGCAATGCCCAGCAAAATCACGAATTCCGATATTCCGATCTGCTTTCAAGCAAACGCGCGCAGCACGAAGATCGGGTTGAGGAACAACAGCGTTGAAACTCAAATAGTGCCATTGTCGCCTGTCAGGCGGAAACGTTCCTGCTCTGCTTACTCTTGAATACTCTTGACTTCATCTCCTTCAACTCCGTCTTAAGTAGCGTCCTTCACGCATCTCGGACGTAGCTCCATGATTTTATTTCTTGACATCTTCCATGACGGTTCCATGATTTCTCCAATTTCCGGTTCTGTCTTGCCCTAATTCTGATTCCTCTGTTTCTTGGCCTTGCGATCCTGTGGTTTCTCTTCCTCTGGTTTTTCTTCTGCGTGGCTCTTCCATTGTTTCCTGTGCTTCTTTGTTTCTCCAGGTTTTTCCCTTCATTGTTCTTTCGTGTGCATTCTTGTCCGGTGCAGCCTTTCCAAACCCAAACCAGAGCTTGACACGTGTGCAGTGCATACTGAGACTGTTTCTGATTGCAAGCCGTTCAAGTCATTCTGTTCATCCACTCTTTGAAAGCACTGCATCCTGAAGGCCTTCTTTCTGATTGCAAAGACTGCTCAAATGACTCATGTCTATTTCAACAAGTGTTTGCATCATCTGTACATGAACACATATCTATATCTATATCTATATCTACATCTATATCTATATCTATCTGTATATATATATACATATTATTATATATTATATATATAATACCTGAGAAGGGGTGGAACGAAAGCCAGCGCTTGTTTTTGACTCGCGCAGGGCGCGTGAAACTCCACCTCATCCATATGGCATGGCTCAAACATGAAGCGCCCCAACATCAACAATTGCTATCGGGTCATAATTTTCCAATCATTAAATGGACCTTTTTAGGGTAAACTCCACGATTTTGTAACTTCTATATCCAAATATGTTTCCTACAATGTACTGCGGCATTGTGAAAAGTTCTATCTCAAGTTCCGTAAATCCGCCTTTGGTTGCTCATTTATCTTAAAACAGCGCAAGTTTGCTCCCACCTATTGTAGATAAATAATACCCGCTTTTTTGTGTGAACAGTGGTCATGTGACCTCTCACAGTCTAAATTGTTTTCTCCCCAGAATCGTGGTCCATGCTTCTCCGCGAAGTTCCGCAACATTTTGGCCGTACGGTGAGAAATCAAAACATAGCTCTGCTCGCAAAATGGGCAGTGCAAACCCAAGACAATATTATAACATACGTAAGAAAGGGTATAAGAACGAATGAAAATCGAGGAAAACAATGCAAAACCCACGGGAAATATAGAACAGTGGCGAACATGCAGTCCAAATCAAAAGTATGTATATTTAGGCCATTTACAGACCTGGGTACCCCCCCAACCCCCCCCACCCCCCAAGGGTCTGGAAAATAGGTATTTTACAGGAAATGTCGCGGAATAGCATCATCCCTGACATCGATCGATAGAGATAATTGTTTGGCATTCCGGAAAATCTTCTCAGCTATCACACTCGCCAAACATCCCTTTTTAAAAGGCACACATACTATCACGGACGTACAGATGCGTATCATTCCCGTCATTGCCATTAGAAGATTCAAATTCTTTCTCGATGTTTTAGTACAAGATTCACTTTTAGTTCTGTTTCAGCCTTCTCAGTACGGCCTCTTACAATGATATTACAGCATTTGTCTCCTAACCTAGGTGGCTCCTGGGCGCAATCTTCATTCCAATGCTTTGTGACAATAACCAGATGCCTGGAGCCTATGCATCACTTGACAGTCGACTCAGTTCTAAACCGGAAAGACTATTCCTTCCGTTTACCAGTAGATCGTTTTTGTAGTTCTTATCACAAAACTACCAGAATCAGGGAGGCACCAAAAAACGTCAAACAGCTTTAAGCATTATTATAAATACTCTAATCTGCAGATTGTATTTATTTTTCTTACACTGTGAACGAAATCACAGTTTTCTAACTTCACACAGATTACCATGAAACCAATTTTCCCATGCAACTCCTCAAATCTTACAACTCATACATCTTTTTTCCTATACCATCCGCATCTTGCTCCAAGGTTTCATGGCAATGTCTTGTACGCGAGTCAGCCACTATTTCCTATCACCAAACTACATTGCTCATCATCTAACATTATCTACAGAAACCAAATCGGATTTCCTGCTCAACTTTTCCGCTCGTTAACATTGTCTTGGTTTTCACTATATTTTTAAAGCATCTTTAGTTATAACATGTTCCTAGGTTTTCACTGTATTTTTCTAACATGTTACATGCCTCCTAGCATGTTCACGCGTGTCCTCCATGTTGTACTGTTTTCTACATCGTTTCCTCTAGTTGTTACAAGCATTTCCTAGCTTGTACACCGTTTTCCTAATATTGTCACAACTTTTCTTCCAGTTTCCACTGCGTTTTCTACCGTTTCCTGTGGTTACTTTCTTCTCTTTTGTAAGTTTTCACTGTGTTTTGTCCAGTTTTTTTAATTACATGCTTCCTACCATTTTCACCGCTTTCCTCTATGGCTTTTTGTACCATTTCCTCTCGTTTCCTGCATTTCATGCATTTTCAATATATTTTTTCCAAGAGTTTTACCCGTCTCCTTCAGTTTCCGATCGTTTTTGCACCATTTCCTCTGGTTGTTATCGCATTTTCCTGCACTTTCACTGTATTTTTCCAGCATGTTTACTGCATCGTCATAGTTTGTTCCTAGCAGTCACTCCGGTTTCCTCCATGTTCCAACAGATTTTGCATGGTTTGTTCCTAGCATTTTCCTCTGATCGTTATCATGTTTTCCTCAAGTTTCATTGTATTTTCCAATGCATCCTCTTTGTGGGTTTTCAATATGTTTTTGTCCAGCATTTTTTACTACATGTTTCCTATCATTTTCAACTCTTTCCTCCATAGGTTTTTGCACCATTTCCTCTGGTTTCCTGCATTTTCATACCTTTTCAATATTAATATTAATCCAAGAGTTTTACCTGACTCCTTCATTTTCCGATCCTTTTTGCACCATTTCCTCTCGTTGTTATCACATTTTCCTGCACTTTCACTGTATTTTTCCAACATGTTTACTGCATCGTCATGGTTTGCGCCTAGCATTCGCTCCGGTTTCCTCCATTTTCCAAGGGATTTTCCATGGTTTGTTCCTGGCATTCGCGCCGTTTTCGTCCGTTTTCCAGGGGATTTTGTACGATTTCCTCTGATCGTTATCATGTTTTCCTGCAGTTTCATTGGATTTTCCAATACATCCTCATGGTCTCTCCGGCCACCAAAAAGGCGGACCTAGGGGGAATCGATACCCCACCGTCAGCAAATTACCTAGTGGTACATAATCCAGAAAAATGCTCCGTTTTCTGGCGCTCAACACAGGGGCACGGCGAGATTTTGTTCCCTTTCGGCAACCATCCCCCCCCACACCCCCTATTCTCACTTCGTTCGCAAACAGCAACTAGCCAGCTAGCTGGCTTTCGTAATATTATATATATTATATATATTTTATATTATATGTTTTATATTATATATTATATATTATATTATATTATATTATATATTATATTATATTATATATTATATTATATTATATATTATATTATATTATATTATATATTATATTATATTATATTATATATTATATTATATATTATATTATATTATATTATATTATATTTTATTTTATATTATATTGTATTATATTATATATATATTATATTATATTGTATAATATATTATATTATATACTATACTATATTATATTATATTATATTATATACTATACTATATTATATTATATTATATTATATATTATATATTATATTATATTATATTACATTATATTATATATTATATGATATTATATATTATATGATATTATATTATATTATATTACATTATATTATATATTATTTGATATTATGTAGTATATGATATTATGTTATATCATATTATACTATATTATATTATAGTATGCTAAATTATATTATATTATATTATTTTATTTTATATAATATTATATATTATATAATATATATATATTATATTATATTATATTATATATTATATTATATTATATACTATACTATACTATACTATATTATATTATATTATGTATATTATATTATATTATATATTATATTATATTATATTATATATTATATTATATTATATATTATATTATATTATATATTATATTATATTATATTATATATTATATTATATATTATATTATATATTATATTATATTATATTATATTATATTTTATTTTATATTATATTGTATTATATTATATATATATTATATTATATTGTATAATATATTATATTATATACTATACTATATTATATTATATTATATACTATACTATATTATATTATATTATATATTATATTGTAATAAATATTGTAATATATATTGTAATATATATTATAATACATTGATATTCATAATATACAATTACGTATGTATATATCTATTATTACAAAGATAAAGTTATGCAAATCTAGGTAAGCGATGGTAAATGTGAATTTGAAAGTGTTTGAGTTTGAGTCAAGGTCTTGTGGCACTCACCTTGAGCTTCGAGTCTCTTCATGTTACAAAAAGTTTCTTCAGGGAGAAGATCTGCCCGTTCTGTCAGGGCAGCTGCTGACATTCTCAGCACGAGCCGAGGAATCCAGTTCAAAAAGTCGTCGTTTTGAAGTATTGCTTACAGTGTAAGTTTACAACATGTTACAGCTCTGTGTTTACAGATCTAAGATGTTGTCAACGATATATAGAAATATGTATATATATATATATCTATCTATCTATCTATCTATCTATCTATTTATGTATTTAATATTGATTTATGTGTTAATTTACTGTATATGAGCATGGTCTGGCTTACACAAGCTCACACGACGACATGCCCAAATGGGGCCCTGGTTCGCTTCTCAGCACCAATTGACCTTGAAAAAATGCTCAAGTCCGCTAATCCCGCCAATTTGGCAAAGCAATCTATGTTTGAGCGCAGATTTGAAAGAAGTACAGAAGTGCAGTGCAGCAAAGCAATCGATAATAGTATAAGCAGAATGATGTTTTGCAGCATTCTCCAGGTTTGGGTTGCACTTCTTTCAACTTCAAACATTTTGGTCTGGTATTCGAATGGAAGGTGCTACAGGTTGCAATATTGCAAAATTGAAACTGCATGCCTTGTGCTTTTCGTTTGGATTTCGTCTCCCATGGTGGGCAAGAGCTCAGTGGCCACACGCTTGCACAACAGGTTGGGCACAAGAAATTGCTGTATAAAAAGTGCTAAAAGTGTTCAGTGTTCACATCGAATGGAGAAAAACCATAAAGATTAAACATTCTGGCAGTTAAACAATTTTCAAAAATTAAGAGTTGCTTAACGAGTTGGTTTTCGATCCATTTCGATCCATTGTTTCATGATTTTCATGGTGGCCGAGGCGAGATGACTCAGTGACTCACGCGGGAGAGTCTGATTCCATCTGATTCCGCCCTGAGTATCCGGATGTATCCGGGATCAGGAGAAGTCGTCTGAAATTCGAGAAATCGTTTAGATTCCTCCCGAAATCGTTTGGCGCGCGTCGCTCATGGTACATACACGCCCTGAGGATCCGTCAACCTGTCAAGAGAGCAAAATTTGGCGTTTTGGAAGAGAAATAAGGGAGGGGCAAAGTGAAAAAGTTCTGTGTTTAGGGTGAGTTCTGTAGGTCTACCCAAATCGTCTCCGAAAGGTCTTCCAGGATGCCATGATGCGACATATGTGACTTAACCCTCAAAGGTAAATCAAATGTAAAGGAGACTGCATCCTTCAGTCAGTGTAAGTCCCGCTGATACTGGTAAGGCAGTGGACTTTGGATTCACACGGTTTCATGATCATATGAATCATATCATGAATGTTCCCATGCTTTGATATGCTTTGTACATTGCTTCAGTCCACCTGTTTCCTCCACTGTCACTGTATATCACTATAGTCCAGCCCGCAGTCGCACGGCTGCTGGATGATCCAATGAGATCCAGAAACTCTGCGAAACTCGCCTTGTGTACACCAAATGCGTCCCTGACTGTCCATATCGATGAAGAAGACCATCCTGTGAAACAATGTGAAACAATGTGAAACATGAAAGTCAGAATATGTCAGAATATGGCAGAATTCTAGATGCTTGTGATGATTGGTGCAAGGATTTCTTGGTTCTATGTTAAACCCTCTCCCTTGATTCCACAAGATGATTGAAATGAAATCACGCACTGCAACAAACCCTTGCAGAGACAAGCCCTTCCAAAGCCCCATCCGGATCCTCATCCAACGAGAGCTCCTTATTCCGCATGACTCGCATGACAGCACCCATGTCCGAGTGATATCGAGACATTGAAGGACTTTCAAGGGTCAATGATGTCAATAGCCAACAGGAATTTGTGATTTTGACCGCAAGCTGTGGATCCTTCGGAACTGGAACAGTCCACAGGGTCACCTTCATGAGAAATCACATGGTCAACACTTGGTTTTCAGGTCCGAAATTTTGAGTTTGCGCCGTTTACGCCAAGGTTCTCCGCCAGCCATGTAGACCCGCTCAGATTCCGTGCGAATCTCTAGAGCATCCTCCTGTTCCATGTGGATTCTGATTGTGGATGATTGTGGATGATTTCAATGGATTTCACGCGAACCCCACATGGAACCCGAAACACGTCCCCCCGAGTCTCCAAAACCGAAACATCCGAAACCAGATCGACTGCTCGAAATGATCAGAATTTTGGTGTCCTGCGATTCCGCCTCAGAGCCTCTCACCAAAAACGATTGGAGCCATGGAGCTGTGTTCTTGGGACCTGTCAAGCTCTGTCGGAGACACAGCTGATCTAAGAGATCTTAGATCAACAGATGTGGAAATTGACAGAAATTGACAGAATGACAGCTGTCTGACAGCTGTCTGACAGCTAACCTTGGACAGGCCTTGGTGCAAAACCCAAAATCCTTGGATGCGTTGGATAAGAACCTGTAGCGGTCATCTGCAAGTCGAAAGCACCACCAAGAGAGACATGAGAAACAATCTGAAAACAAGGTGAATACATTGCCATGTACAAAACAACATGATGTGAACATACTCAGTCTAGTCTATAGATGTCTATAGATGTCTATAGATGTCTATAGATGTCTATAGATGTCTATAGTCTATAGTTATGGATCACCAATGGGTCACCAATGGGTCACCAATGAATCATGGATAACAATCCGTGGTCGGCCTCAGCTGGACTCAGAGCAGCAAAATCCTCGGATGCCTCACGGAGCACAGCGAGGTGATTTTCTGACATGCCAAGTATTCGAATTATTCGACCTATGACATGCCGGCGCCGGCGCCAAGTGGCAAGCTTTTCGAATTCGAGTTCGACTCAAGTGTACTCAGGTCTCAGTAACCGAGTGACATAGAGGTAATATTACGGTAATATGAGTCATATTATGAGGTACAGGCCGCTACAGTGGAAAAATGCCTAAAAGAAAGCTCAAACCGGTGCCGCTGTTTTTCGACCTTGCCTCGCTGGTGTCGAGGAAGTCAACAGGATCTCCTGGCCAAATCAAGTGTCACAGCGCTGATGGAAAATTTCGGAAACTGACACAGCTTCACAGGCTTCACACATGTCTAAACAGCTGAGTCGCCTCCACTGCTCAGCCTTTTCCTATACATCCCGCTCCCCTGGCGCTTCATGGGAATTTTTGGTGGCCGTTGACAGCGCCTTGGACGGTGCGCTATCCGCTTTGCAGTCAAACACCCGCTGACACAAATCCCAAAGGATCCAAAAAGTGTAGCGCACTAAATGTTTCTTGAGGATCCGGCCTGCACAACGCCCCAATGCCGCTGTATATGGGATCCGTTTGGCACTCGCTGTCAGCAGTCGATGCCTCCGTCCTCAAAAGGGCACACCATTCAAGGCTTCAATTTGATGTGGCTCCATGGCACTCAAGACAGAACACGGAACATCGTGGAACTGTTTATCTGTTTATCCAAGGTTCTGAATGTTCACATCTCTGAGTTCCTTCACCCAAAATCCATCAGAACTATGTCCATCGGTGTAGGAATCTATACCTCACCAAGCCACTTTTTCACTTTGGCATGAAAGGAATGTTCCTGCAATCCCTCATTGGTGGGCAGATCTACAGCAACTGATGTAATAGAAATAGGGAGACGTGAAATGTAGCAATGGATGCAATGGGCTCGTCTATGAAACCGTGCCTTGCTCATCTTGGGCTGAAACGAAACACACCGAGATCAATGCGATCCGGCGATCGTTTCGCAATGTGATCAACATGTTGTCAACATAATCTCATTGATCGCTAGAATCTGGCGAAGGAAACGCAACAAACGCGATCGGGATATATCGAGATGCTGTAAATCAAGCTCTCGGAGATCAAACGGCTATCTGACGCCATCCTCGATGGTGTTTTGCCCTGTTGGCTCTTGATGCTTGCAATCCTTGCAGGGGAAAAACATGCCGAGACTATCGTCTCCCAAACAAGCTGGCTGGCCACAGTAGAAGCTTTTATCCGAGCGCAATTGATGCAAGCAAAACCACAAAACAGGCCCAAAAAGGCAAGCGAATGAAGAAATGGGCTAGATTCATCAATGATTCATCTAGATTCTACGTATCTCATATTTGTGATATATCATATTATATATATGTCTATATATTCTATATATCATGTTCTACATGTTAAACAGTTCTATATCTCTGGTGGTCGCTTTCCGCCTGGCCTCATCATACTCATCGTCTGGTTTCCATGACTGATATCGCTTAAACCACTCAGCGAAGAGTGCGAGGGTACCTGCACTGCACTCTGAAATTGACTGCGTCGACTGATGAAATCACTGCACGTACGTCGAGTACGCTGCACGTCTACGGTACTCGACGTCTTCGTTTTTCAATTCAAGTGATGAGTCTTTCAAGTAACAAGTGAGTCTGATATTCGTCTGAGCCTGGTGAACCATGTTTTCATGTGTCATGTCTTCCGGTGTCCAGAAAATAGGATCAGAAATGAGGAATTGCAAGATTGTTTGAAATAGGAGACCGTAGACTCTGCAGACTCTGTAAACTCTGTAGACTCCGTAGACTCTGTAGACTGCAGACATTCTTTGATGCCGATCCGAAAGCTCACACAACTTTAGACTTATGTTGAAAGATCTTGAAAGGGAAGTTCAGCTGAAACCCGAGCCTTGAACTTCTTCTGCCTCTTTCGTTGCAAGGTTTCCAGACTTGGTACCGCAGAGAGCACTGGGGCGTTCCGTGTGGGACTTGGATTTCTGTCTGCATCAATGACCATCACCGCAGGCGAGCTCCTGGCAAAATGATATTTTGCCACTGACACAACGTACTGACACGACATGCACCACCTGCACCACATGCACCACATGTCACAACGTCGTGTCTCACATCTCAACGAGACTCCCAGACCTCAACACCTGCAACTCCAACGTCTAGCAACTCGAAATTTCTCATTGAGGTGTCCTTCGTCGGCCACGCTGATCGGTCGTCCTAGCAAAGCACTCTATGATCCTCATGTAACAACCGGAAAGGGCCGAAGTATCCAAGTATTTTCTTCGGAGCTGTTCACGTCGCCTTGGGAGTGGAAAATGAAGGAAATAGCAACATGAAGGAATGTGAACTTCAGTGTGAACATTGTGAACTAGAATGTGAACATTGTGAACTAGAATGTGAAGTATTTTGAACTTAGACTTTCCACATCTGACTCATGGCTGTGTGTCCTCCTGGTATCTGTATCCAGGTCTGCCCAAACACTCCGCCGTGCAGTTCCAGGCGAGGCAGGTTCCGGCGGTTCCTAAAATTGCAACAAATTCAGAGAGCGAGCAAACATGCATCATTTTGATTTTCGAAAAAGCAGTCACTTGCAGCCACTCAGCCACTTGCAGCCACTTGCAGCCACTTGCAGCCACTTGCAGCTGCTTGCAGCCACATGCCATCTTGGAAAAAAATGATTTTGTAGATTTTACTTTTTTTTCAAGCACCGATTGAAACATAGGTATAAAAGCTGTTTCGGAGAAAAAAAAAAAAAGGCCAGATTGTTTGTATTTGAGGGCCAGCGCTCACCTGCAGCCAGCGAACTTACGACTACCTGTTTAGTAATTTTTGTGGGTTGTTTAATGATGGTTTACCTTAGTAGGTGATTAACAAGCGTGGTTTGTAAGTCGCCGTTTCACGGGTCATAACATCTTTGAGTGTGTTATAACTTATAACTTTGGTTATTGAGCATTTCATCATTGATGAAAAGGGTATATTCTAACTGGTGGAGGTTCGAATTCCATCGTCATACCTATATCAAATCTTATAAACCAGGCCCTGCGGAGTTTTGAAGCCGACCATCAATAGATTGGTTGAAGGAAAAATCTCCATCTTAACCAGAGTCTTAATCTTGTTTTTGCTGTTGCGGTTTTTGTTTTTGTAAGGCAAGGACGAGAACTTGCAGCGTATCATCATCCAACATGTCTGAAGGTTGGGGACAAGACCTGACAGCGTAGCACCCAAGATGATTGAAAGTTAAGGACAGGTCTTACAGCGTGTCATCCAAGATGGCTGAAAGTTAAGGACAAGATCTTACACCGTACAATCCATAATGATTGAAAGTTAAGGACAAGGCCTTTCAGCATAGCATCAAACATGTTTGAAAGTTAAGGACAGAATCTTGCACCGTAACATCCAAGATGCTGGAAAGTTAAGGAGAGGATCTTGCAAAGTAGCATCAAGCATGTTTAGAACTTAAGGACAAGACCTGACACCGTAGCATCAAAGGTGTTTGAAGATTAAGGGCAAGGTCTTACAGCGTGGCATCCCAGATTCAAGATGTTTGTAATTCAAGAACAAGGTCTTAGGGCATAGCTTCCAAGATGTTCAAAGTTAAGGACAAGCTCTTCGAGCGTAGCGTCCAAGATGATTGAATGTCAAGGGCACGATCTTACACCGTAGCACCCAAGATGATTGAAAGTGAAGGACAAAGTCTTACTCCATAGCAACCAAAATCATACAAGATGCTTGAGAGTTCAGGACAAGATCTTCTTGGGCAGCATCCAGATCTTCCAAGAATGTGTTATTATTTCTCTTGTTCTCGTTTTCGTTTGTGTTCTTGTTGCTAATGTTGTTATCGCTGTTCTTGCTCTTGTTGTTTAACTATTTTGTTTTGTTATTGTTATTTTTGTTCTTGTTGTTGTTGCTGCTGCTGTTGTTGTTGCTGATGTTGTGGTTCTTGTTTCTAATCTTGTGGTTATGGTTCTTTCTCTTGTTCTTGTTCGTCAAGGACAAGAACTACAGCGTATCATCCAACATGTTTGAGGGTTAGGGACAAGACAGACAGAATCTTGGAGCGTAGCATCCGACATGTTTGAAGGTTAAGGACAAGATCTTGCTTCGTAGCAACAAAGATTTGCAAGTCAAGGACAAAATCTTACACGGTAGCATCCCAGATGATTGCAAGATCAGGCTGCGATCTGACAGCGTAGCATCAAGGATGATCGAAAGTTAAGGACAAGATCTGACTCTGTAGCGCCCAAGATGTTTGAAAGCACAAGATCTTACGCCGAAGCACCAATGATGTTTGTAATTTATAGACAAGATCTTACATGCTTGCATCCAAGATGTTTGAAGGCTAAGGACAACAGCTTACAGCGTACCATCCAACACCCCCTTACACCGTACAATCCATAATGATTGAAAGTTAAGGACAAGGCCTTTCAGCATAGCATCAAACATGTTTGAAAGTTAAGGACAGAATCTTGCACCGTAACATCCAAGATGCTGGAAAGTTAAGGAGAGGATCTTGCAAAGTAGCATCAAGCATGTTTAGAACTTAAGGACAAGACCTGACCCCGTAGCATCAAAGGTGTTTGAAGATTAAGGGCAAGGTCTTACAGCGTGGCATCCCAGATTCAAGATGTTTGTAATTCAAGAACAAGGTCTTAGGGCATAGCTTCCAAGATGTTCAAAGTTAAGGACAAGCTCTTCGAGCGTAGCGTCCAAGATGATTGAATGTCAAGGGCACGATCTTACACCGTAGCACCCAAGATGATTGAAAGTGAAGGACAAAGTCTTACTCCATAGCAACCAAAATCATACAAGATGCTTGAGAGTTCAGGACAAGATCTTCTTGGGTAGCATCCAGATCTTCCAAGAACTTGCTATTATTTCTCTTGTTCTGGTTTTCGTTTTTGTTCTTGTTATTAAAGTTGTTATTGTTGTTTGTGCTTTTGTGTTTTTTTACTAGCACTTCTTATTCTTGTTATTCTGATTGTTGTTGTTGTTGCTGTTGCTGTTGCTGTTGTTGTTGCTGTTGTTGTTGTTCTTGTTCTTGTTCTTGTTATTGCTTTTGTTCCTGTTATTGCTATTGTTTTTGTTCTTGTTTTTGTTCTTGTTCTTGTTGTTGTTGTTGTTGTTGTTGTTGTTGTTGTTGTTGTTGTTGTTTTTGTTACTGTTGTTGATGTTGTGGTTGTTGCTCTTGATATTGTTCTTGTGGTTCTGGTTTTTGCTTTTGTTCTGGTTCTTGTCCGTTAAGGACAAGAACTTACAGCGTATCATCCAACATGTTTGAGGGTTAGGGACAAGACAGACAGAATCTTGGAGCGTAGCATCCAACATGCTTGAAGGCTAAGGACAAGATCTTACTTTGTAGCAACAAAGATTTGCAAGTTAAGGACAACATGTTTACACGGTAGCATCCCAGATAATTGCAAGATCAGGCTGTGATCTGACAGCGTAGCATCAAAGTTGTTCGAAAATCAAGGGCAAGATCTTGCAGCGTAGCATCAAGGATGATCGAAAGTTAAGGACTTCTTGTTGTTGGTGTTGTGGTTCTTGTTCTTAGATTTGTTCTTGTGGTTGTGTTCTTCTTCTTGTTCTTGATCTTGTTCTGTTTCTTGTTTTTGTTCTTGTTGTAGTTCTTGTTCTTGTTCTTCATCTTGTTCTCCATCTTGTTCTCATTGTTATCCTTGTTCTATTCGTTCTTGTTCTTTGTCTTGTTCTTTTTCTTCCTCTTCTCCTTCTTCTGTTTCTTCTTCTTCTTTTTCTTATTCTTCTTCTTCTTCTTGTTGTTCTTGTTGTTGCTGTTGCTGTTGCTGTTGCTGTTGCTGTTGGTGTTGGTGTTGTTGTTGTTGTTGTTGTTGTTGGTGTTGGTGTTGGTGTTGGTGTTGGTGTTGGTGTTGTTGTTGTTGTTGTTGGTGGTGTTGTTGGTGTTGTTGGTGTTGTTGGTGTTGTTGGTGTTGTTGGTGTTGTTGGTGTTGTTGGTGTTGTTGGTGTTGTTGTTGTTGTTGTTGGTTGTGGTTGTGGTTGTGGCTGTGGTTGTTGTTGTGGTTGTGGTTGTGGTTGTGGTTGTTGTGGTTGTGGTTGTTGTGGTTGTGGTTGTTGTTGCTGTTCTTGTTCTTGTTCTTGTTTAAAGTTGTTTTTGCAAGGTCTGTGTCGCATAGGCCGGGACTGTCTATCACACCGGGGGGGACATTGTAGATAATATCTTTCGACCAAATAGGAAGGAAAATTGCCATTCGTTTAGTCGAATGCTACGTTTCAATCTTTTGGGGGTTGCCATAACATCTGCCATTGTTCTACGGAATTCGCTACGAATTGTCTCGCAATATGCCATCATTCCTTGGCACTTGGCAGCTCGCGCATTCAAATCTTGAAAAAAGTGACAAATGCAAAACCATTGCTTTTTCACGTTTTGAGACTTCGATGGAAAACAGCTGCTCCGACAAGCAGCCACGTAGCCACTTGCAACCACTTGCAGCCACTTGCAGCCACTTGCCCAAGCAGCCACTTGCAGCTACAAGCAGCCACTTGCAACCACTTGCCACCGCTTGCCCAAGCAGCCACTTGCAGCCACTTGCAGCCACAAGCAGTCACAAGAAGCCACAAGCAGCCACAAGCAGCCACAAGCAGCCACTTGTAGCCTTTGCAGCCACAAGCAGCCACTTGCAGCCACAAGCAGCCACAAGCAGCCACTTGCAGCCACATGCTCAAGCAGCCACTTGCAGCCACAAGCAGCCACTTGCAGCCACAAGCAGCCACTTGCAGCCACAAGCAGCCACTGGCAACCACTTGCCGCCGCTTGCCCAAGCAGCCACTTGCAGCCACTTGCAGCCACTCGCAGCCACTTGCAGCCACTTGCAGCCACTTGCAGCCACATGCCCAAGCAGCCACTTGCAGCCACTTGCAGCCACTTGCAACCACTTGCAGCCACATGCCCAAGCAGCCACTTGCAGCCCTTTGCAGCCACTTGCAGCCACTTGCAGCCACTTGCCCGCAGCTGCAAGCAGCCACAAGCAGCCACAAGCAGCCACTTGCCCAAGCAGCCACTTGCCCAAGCAGCCACTTGCAGCCACTTGCAGCCACTTGCAGCCACTTGCAGCCACTTGCAGCCACTTGCAGCCACTCACAGCCACTCACAGCCACTGGCCCTGCAGCCAAAAGCAGCCTCTTGCCCATGGGTCCTGTAGCATGTCCTGTGTGTGATGACTGGTGGTATCGTGGGCTTCCTCTTCTGATTGCCGGGTTGGCATGCTTGATGGCTCCCGGTTTTTTCATCCGGACTGCATTTTAGGACCCTGCGTCTTATCATGCCCTAGGCATTCTCCACTCGGTTAAGCTGGTGGTGTTTCGCCCTATCGTTTTTCCTTCCCTTTCTCACTGCTAGAGGGAAGTTCTGCGCATGCTGTGGCAGTTGGGTTGCCCTGGCGCGTCGGCGTCAGCTGGCTTGTTTTTCTTGGCAGCTTTGCCGGCTGGCCTCGACAATCCGCGGCTCCCTTCTGTTCTAAGTTTCCATGCTCCTCCATTTTAGTCCACTGCCTCCTTCCAAGAAGGATTTCAATTGTTGTTGTCGAGTTTTCTTCTTGTAACCAACCAGTTGTTTGACGGGACACACTTGCCTAAGCAGCCACTTGCAGCCACTTGCAGCCACTTGCAGCCACTTGCAGCCACTTGCGGCCACTTGCAGCCACTTGCAGCCACTTGGAGCCACTTGCAGCCCCTTGCAGCCACTTGCCCGCAGCCACAAGCAGCCACTTCCAACCACTTGCAGCCACTTGCCCAAGCAGCCACTTCCCCAAGCAGCCACTTGCCCAAGCAGCCACTTGTGGCTGCAAGTGGCTGCAAGTGGCTGCTTTTTTGAAAATCAAATTGCGCACCTCCTGCGCCCACAAGGAACAAATTGCAAGACAAACTGCAAGAAATTTAACAGCCAAATCCGCCTAAGTTGGTGCTCAGTCGGTGTTCAACACGGCTCACCGACAAACGAACTGTTGCTTTTGCAGCAGACCTGCTGGCCCAACGACGATCTAAGATGATGAGATGGATGATCTACGATGATCTACCGTGATCTGCGATGATCTAAGTCTACTTTCTCCATATTCCTTTCTTCTACATCTAAGTTTGCCGGAGGTTGCCGAATGTTGCCGGATTTGCTGGACTTCATGACGGTCGGGCCGTGGAATTAGTTCCAAGTATCCTGCACAGCATTCAAAGCCTCACTAAAGGGTGTGATCATGGCAAAGAAGGCTGGATCCGGCAAGCCAGTACGAAGCATGCCTCGGTGCCACAAGAGTGTCTCTCGTGTTTCTCGTGTCTCTCTTTGTTTCATGTTCTTTTTGCATCTTTTTGTCACTATGCCTGGATTGTGTCATTGCTACGAGAGACACCAACAGCTGAGCACTGGGCAAAGTTTTGCAGGACTTGGTCCACTTGCGAGACAAACGACCACATCTGATACTTGGTACATAGCCTGCAGCGACAGTGTGGCCATCTTGAATCTTGAACGCTTGGATAGGCAAGGGGACCATTTGACTCTGATATGTAAAGGGATGTGGCTTTGCCATGCTTTCTGTCATCACCTGGGTGTTTATGGGTGTGTGTGTGTGTGCGTGGCTTGCAGTAAGACTAACTGAGCATGCACCGATTGAACCCCACACCCACACACACACACACACTTGCTCAGAACGGTCATTGCGAATTCTGATGTGAAATGCATCGGACGTGCAAAAAACACTCCAATTAAAATCTGACACGAAGAATGAAAAGTAACAAAATTATATATATATATCATATATATATATATATAGGAATAATCACAGTAGACATTGACCGTAAAAAACAACAGCGATAAGATATATGTCCCCCCCAGCTGCGGCTTATATGCGCCCAGGGGCGGGACTATATATATATATAAATAATATGCTGGTACAGGTTCATGCATCCATGAACCCATCCACCACATCTTCCGTAGCTTCGTTGGGCAACATAGGAAGATGGGCTGTTGGCCCCCCTGCAATATATAGAAGTTTTACATTTGTTCAGATGGTACACACACACACACACACGCCCCGCAGCAGCGGGGCAGATGAAATGACGATGAAAACGAGATGAAGGTGAAAGTGGAATGAAAGTTACCTAACCAGGACGCGAAGAGGGGAACGCAAGAGAAGAGGGAAAGAGCAAACACCAACACGACACACCTAGCCCAAAATGGGCAAAACCCTGAAAAGGCAAGGAAAAAGAAAAGCGAAGGCCGACGGACACGGAACCAGACCAGCGGAGGAGGGGGAGGACGGAAGCGCCTGAACCAACCTAACAAAGCGAAACCTAAGCCAACCTCGGCACGCGCAGGACCCAACCTACCTGAAGGAAGGAGAACGCAGGAACACATGAGAAAGGGGACCCATGGGGGACTAGTTAATCAAATGATGCATCCACATGACATGCAAGGATCGTGATCAGGCTCAAGGCCCTCGGTATTCAAGTCAACCCTATGGACGGCTTAGGTTGTCAACCCCTGAATTACGTGCACAATTGAACCTCACCAACGACCATAAAAAGAAAGGATCACCACACCTGCAGGAATGTCCTGATGCCTTCACATGGTCACATGTCATGTTGAAATTGTTGAGCTCGGTACTCTCTTGGGCAGTATTGAAAAAACGGATGTTGTCGCGGCTTCCGGCTATGCAGGGCATGGTGAAAATTGAAAAGGTGATACCCAGTACTGCGGCCAGAAGTTTCAACACTCACTCGACCGACAGAGTGAAACTTGAAAGGTGAACGGCTGTTTCACTTTACTTTAACGAATTACTAATTCAAAAGTGTCAATTCAGAGGCAATTCTTTGCTTAGACAAGCATTCCCCGAAGGGTTCATGCCACCTTGACGAAACCAGCATGAATCACACACTTGCTCAGAACGGTCATTGCGAATTCTGATGTGAAATGCATCGGACGTGCAAAAAACACTCCAATTAAATCTGACACGAAGAATGAAAAGTAACAAAATTATATATATATATATCATATATATATATAGGAATAATCACAGTAGACATTGACCGTAAAAAACAACAGCGATAAGATATATGTCCCCCCCAGCTGCGGCTTATATGCGCCCAGGGGCGGGACTATATATATAAATAATATGCAGGTACAGGTTCATGCGTCCATGAACCTATCCACCACATCTTCCGTAGCTTCGTTGGGCAACATAGGAAGATGGGCTGTTGCCCCCCTGCAATATATATAGAAGTTTTACATCTATTCAGATGGCACACACACACACACATCTTCGAACAAAAACATTGTAGAAAGTCACTAAGCCTAGTTGTCTCAACTGCACCAAAGCATCATTTCCTGCAAACATCGACCAATCGAAAATGAGGCCTCCGTTTTCCCCTACTATCATCGAAAAAGATCATTACAAACCTGTCGGCAGAAACTGGGAAATTGCCAAAGTGAGACCCACCTCACTTTGAAAGTCAATATCATCGAAGGAGTGGGGATTCAGGATCGTTGCGAGGTGCTTTCCTGGCGCTGTCGGATGCTGCATCTGTGATGAGGATCACAGGATCACACGCTGAAGTTGAACTGATGTAGCATTGCCAGCACTGCAGCATGTTACATGCAGATCATCCAGATCATACAGTACGTTTGTTCAAATGTCAAACATCATTGATGTCAAACATCGCTACTTTTTGATGTGGATGTGGTCTGACTTGCCCACTGTAAAAGGCACTGCTTTCATGGTCTCCTTGAATGTCGTAGCCAATTTGAAGGCGAACGTCTACTGACACCTGTGCAGACCCAAACATGTCAGACATGTCAATGTAGAACAAGAAACACCATGGAAAGCTGTACAGGCCATACCGGCTATAGACTTACTATAGAGTTACTATAGCTGTACATCTTCTCAGGCACCTCTCGGATGGTGAAGTCCTGTGCTGTGTCGTGTAGTGTCACTTGCTGTCGCAAAGAAAACTGTCCGCTGCATTCCGCTGTAATCACTTGTGGTGTTCTGAATTCATCCTGAATTCATGTTGTACTTTCTGTACTGTCCTCCCGCAAAGGCAGAATCATACAACGATGCTTGTCGGATCCTTGGCTGCGCACACTTTCCATGTTTCCCTCGGTACCGACTTGGTGGCCTTTGTCTTGGGAAAAGGAAAGGAACACTCTTCCGTGACTCCCGTGACTCCGGTAAACTCCCGTAAATTCTGTAAATTCGTAACATTATACTAGTAGTACCGCACTAGACGTGGCGGAAGTTTCAAAAATAGGAAACCTATAGGAGAGGTTGGTTGTTGTGACTCACGGATGGCAGAGCGAATCCACTGATGGACTGAAAGGTGATTGATCTCTCTCACTCTTTCTCTCTCTTTTGCTCTCTTTCTCTCTCTTTCTCTCTCCTTCTCTCTCTTTCTCTCTCTTTCTCTGATAATCTACCTACCTACCTACCGATCTATCTATCTATCTATCGATCTGTCTAACTATCTATCTATCCATCTGTGTATCTATCTATCTATCTATCTATCTATCTATCTCTCTCTCTCTCTCTCTCTATCTATCCATCCATCCATCCATCCATCCATCTATCCATCTATCCATCTATCCATCTATCCATCTATCCATCTATCCATCTATCCACCTATCCACCTATCCATCTATCCATCTATCCATCTATTCTATCCATCCATCTGTCTATCTATCTATCTGTCTATCTATCTGTCTATCTATCTATCTAGCTTTCTAGCTATCTAGCTATCTAGCTATCTAGCTATCTAGCTATCTATCTATCTATCTATCTACCTGCCTATCTGCAAGCTTGAAAACCTTGCTATTCTACGAGACTTCTTCATTTTTCCAAGTTGACAACATCAAAAACGCAGCACTTCTGCTAGACGTCCTGATTTTTTGAAGTTGACCACATAAAAAACGAAGCAATTCTGCGAGACTTCCTTATTTTTCAAAGTTGACAACATCACAAACGAAGCACTTCTGCGAGACTTCTTCAATTTTTCAGCTTGACAACATCAAAAACAAAGCAATTCTGCGAGACGTCCTTCAAAAATGGAAAGTTGAGTGCAGGGCTTACAGCTTCGTACCAATGCGTTTTGCGATTTTTCCAGTCCACCTGTCGAAAGTACTGCGCCTGCCACGAAAAAGTGATGCCAAGTCATACAAAGTGCTGCACCTGTCACGCAAAATCATCTCAGCAAACCTGAAGATCTGCTGCTCCAAAATGCAACCCCTCTCAGGAAATCAGCGCCCTGACCTCCTAACATCTCTGATGAACATGTGTCTTGTACTGCGCCTGCCGCGCGACATGCATCTTTCCAGATCCTCTTCAAATGTCCCATGCCTGTATCATGTTTTGGAACTGCTACAAAACCTTCACGCTTTGCTCACTTTTGACAAGATGCACAATCCCTTGCGCCTGCCACGCGAAAGCAAATCTGAACGTCCAAAAGTGCTGCGTACCCGTCAGTTTTTTGCACTTTGACTTCAAAATGTGCTTCGCGCCACAACGGCGTGCACTTTTTCGACATCTCAACTTCCAAAAGTGGTCCGAACCTGGTGTGTTTTGTACATTTTGACTTCGAAACGTGCTTCGCGCCACAACGGCGTGCACTTTTTCGACATCTCAACTTCCAAAAGTGGTCCGAACCCCTGGTGTTTTGTACATTTTGACTTCGAAATGTGCTTCGCGCCACAACGGCGTGCACTTTTTCGACATCGCAACTTCCAAAAGTGGTCCGAACCCCTGGTGTTTTGTACATTTTGACTTGGAAATATGCTTCGCGCCACAACGGCATGCAATTTTTCATCTCTCATCTGGCTAGATGGCTCCGCACCCGCCGCTTTAGCGAGCCTACTTTTCGACCCTCCAGAGCCACAAATCATTGGAAAAACACAGCGTTTCGCGACTTTCCTACCTTTTCGCGCATCTGCATCTTCTTTCTTCTGACTCTTTCTCTTCTCTGATCTGCTCTCTTCTACTCTTCTCTTCTCTCTGCCTCTGCCCATCTCTGCTTTTCATCTGTCCATACTGTCGGAAGTTTGACTTCTAAACTTCCTTCGATAAATGCCAGACTCCCGGCCTCTGCAAGTCTTTGAAGCCTGTAATCTGTGTAGTCTGTGATAATGTCTAAAGGAGCGGCACAGCTTTGCTCCCACATGGCTGCATGATTTCATCGCCCAGGGGCGATCTACCTTTTGCATAGGGAATGTGTCCTGAAGGAGGAGCATAAGTGGCACCGAAGGAATTGAAAAACGGCTCGCACACTACTTAGTATGCGTTGAAGGGCAAGAAAAACACATGCTGCTGTTTCCGGCTCAATTTCCACTGGACGTTTGCATGTACATTTGCCCACCCCAGCCTCCACACCACCGCTATCCCTGAGCACAAACCAGTGCTGTCACAAGTTCAATTTCAGGAATCTTTGCAAATTCACCAAGATTGTCAGTGTTTTACAGTATTGTCGCAAGGCTACGGAAAATGAAGCCTTTGGCTGTGAATATCTGAGTCTTCGGTATTGATTCTGTCTTCTTGGCCTTGTTTAGTGTTCAATCGCTTCAATCAGCGACTAGGAGCCAGCCTTGATAACATTCTCTCCACATCATAACCTGCAGTGTTGCAAACAGAATCACTGGATTTCACTGGTATGCCGAGAAAATCTCCAACAAGAATAAAAATATTCGGCCAACATGCAACACTACTCTGGGTCTGTCCAGAACAATCATTTTGGGTTGAAGGATGACGGTCACTGATGGTGCAAATGCATTTTGCATCGACTTGAAGTTGTGCCAAGGAACTTTGACTTGCCTGACTGCCTTTGCTTCCCCGATTGTTCCTTTCCTGGCCAGCTGCGGGGATTGCTAAATTTCATGGCGCGTTTTGAATTGGCAAACACTGACAGCAGAAACCGTCCTTACCACCTCTGCCAAGAGAGCCCATCGACATGCCCATCTCCTCCAGGAAACAGATGAGTCACAGCTTCGATGTTTACCCGCACAAACCCAATCACAAACCCAATGACTTTCTTATTATGATTTGCAAAAGCAATTTGCTACTTCCAATGCCTCATGTTCGTTCCAGCTACGTTTACTCAGTTTACTCCTTTCCGCTTGCAGTGGACCCTATGGCTTCTCTGGCCTGCTTGACCGGTGAGCTGCTCCATCCTTGCACTTCGGCTGGGAGCTGCTCATAACCCCCAACCGGCCACAAAAGAATCGCCAAATGAGGAGGATCCATGAGGTCATCTCAGTCATCTCAGTCATCTCAGTCATCTCAGTCATCTCCCAAATCACCGGTGAACCGGTTCCAGATCTTTTTAAATCACCCGGGCAACAAATTGTCCACTCTGAAATACTGAACATCTGCTTGATCCGAATCCATCCTACATTGTAGACTCATTTTTGTTATTGATTTCGAGCTAGAGATCAGAGATACGAAATATAGTGCTTGTTGCGTTCTATTTAAGTAATTCTATTTATCTGATGGGCCTGCTACAGTATCCTTTCCTGCATTTGTCCTGGACGTGGAAGCAGGAAGGCACCCAAAAAGCATCAACTAGACGACGGATGGCCCGAGAGCGTAGAGGAGCAATTTCTTCTAGTGCTAATATCAAGACAATATATTACAGATGTATCATAGGCAAATGAGAAGAATGGTATCAAGACAATATATTACGAGACAACATATAAGAGATGTATGAAATTCAGATGAGAAGACAAGAACAACATGACGCTTTTACACAGAGACGCTTTTACACACAGACCCTTTTACACAAAGACGCTTTTACACACAGACGCTTTCACATACAGACCCTTTCACACACAGACGCTTTTACACACAGACGCTTTTACACACATGACGCTGTTACACAGACGCTTTTACACACAGGCTCCTTTACACACAGACGCTTTCACATACAGACACTTTTGCACACAAACGCTTTTGCAAACAAACACTTTTACACACAGACGCTTTTACACACAGACGCTTTTACACACAGAAACTTTTACACACAGACTCCTTTACACACAAACACTTTTACACACAGACGCTTTTACACACAGACGCTTTTACACACAGAATCTTTTACACACAGACGCTCTTACACACAGACACTTTTACACACAGACACTTTTACACACAGACGCTTTTACACACAAACACTTTTACACACAGACGCTTTTACACACAAACGCTTTTACACACAGAAACTTTTACACACATACGATTTTACACAAAGACTCCTTTACACACAGAAACTTTACACACAAACACTTTACACACAGACGCTTTTACACACATTTTCATCACATGTCTACCATCAAAATCGCAATTTTACCTCAGTTTTTGACGAACCGTGCGAGACTGTCGCGTTTCGTGATCCTTCGTGGCCACCGCCCCCGCCTTAAGAGGAGAGAGAGAGAGAGAAGACAAGAGAAGACAAGAGAAGACAAGAGAAGACAAGAGAAGAGAAGAGAAGAGAAGAGAGAGAGAGGGAGAAAGAAAGACGTAAGATGTGAAGATGTAATGAAGACGTATTTCTCAGCTTCTTTTCTTGGAAGAACCCTGTGCTCAGGCACTCTCGGAAAAATGCTAATATTGGTCTGAGAGCTTTTGTCAGGCTTGGCAAAAGTTCTTGATATTCTTCTATATTGAGTCATACTGAGTCTATACTGATTACAGGGATCGTGTTTCTGCCATGTTTCTACTCTCTTCATCCCTCTTTCACCTTGTGGTTGCCTTGTGGTTGTGAGCATACAAGTATCAGCTGCCAAGTCTGCCAAGTGTCCTTCTGACGAATTGATCGTAGGAACAACGGAGCAGGGGATATTATGCGGCAAATCTATCTCAAACAGGTGCCGCAAGACTCTCTCCTGCAGCGGATAGAAGCGGTGCGTTTTGACAAATGATTCCGAAGGTCTACGGAACTCAACATGTCTTGATCCAAAGGATCCTCAGTCTGCCGATCTTTAATCACTTCAAATCACTTCTCATAAGATTCCATCTTTTCCAAATTCTATTCAACTCTGTATAAGTTCAAGCAAATCCATTGCACGAAAGCCACTAACAACTACACTGAGAAACCTTCAGGAGGCTTCCAGACTGTGCTTATTCTGATTTCTGTTCAGAGAGTTCCATTGAAGAGGAAGTTTCCAGAAAACATACTATGAGGGCACAACGGAGACTATGCAGAGCGGGTTCAGCTTTAAGTGCACTTCAGAATTGCAAAAGGCTCGGCATGGATACTGTGATTTCTTTCAGAAAGCAAAAAACAGTCCGTGCGTTAGAGTACACGAGACCTTTTGCAAACAGTAATTGGTACAAGCAGGCAATCTGTTGATGTGCTCTGGTCTCTTCTGAATATAAACGCATGAGGCTCTAGTGACTCTAGTTGGGTGTTCAACTTGCGCCTTTTATTTTGCACGTCTTACAGGTGTCTACTTGGGGCCCCAAACATTGATCCATGAAAGTCTGCAGGCACAAAGGATTGTGAAGCCAAGCCTAAGTGCCCAGCACTTTGCCAGAAGAAAATGAACATTCAACGAATTCAACGAACAAGTCCAGCAAGACCAGCAAGTGAGAAATATGCACATCAAATTTCTTGGCACGAATCGAACAGGAGTCGGGGTCAAAGAAACTATGGTCAGCAAAGGACCGGAAACATACAAACTTGAAGCATCACGGAACAGACCCATACCAGGGAAGGATAAAGATTCCATGACAACTTGGAAGACATACATCCATGTCAGCAGCACATGATCTGCTCCTTTATGTTGTTCTTCATTCGACTGTCTCCCCAACTCTTCACCGAGATGCAGTCACAACAAGGATCTACACATGTGCAATTTTGGGGCAAGTTATAGAGCACGGCCGTTCACTGTCACATCTCATCTACATGCATTGTCACCACAGCACATGGCCACGACCATGTGACTGCGGCGCAAAAGTCAGACACAGCTTGTATCATTCAAGGCACAAATACGAGTCAGGCGAGGCAATGGTCGAGTCAAAAGGCAGCATGATGATCGCCACCAGCAAAACGAACCTGGTGACATGTGTAATAACAGTTAACAACATGCAAAAGCTGGTCTACGCTAGTGTAGGTCGTGCGACAGCTGTGCGACAGCTATGCGACAGCTATGCGAGAGGTGTTGTGTCGAAGGTTTTAGTTTTCGTTCTTGTGCATCCCATCTTGTCCTTCAGTGCTTCAGACTGACGTAGCTCAGCATGAGAAGCCAAATGTGACACAATTGCAGCCTGTATCTGTCCCTCACTCTCTATTCAGGCATCCATCATTTATCCTCACAATTTAAGCATCTCAGGCTGACACCATGATATGTGAAAGCGCAAAGGCATGCAAAAAATCACCTGATCTCGGCAGTTTTCAGGATGTGGCGCCAATTTTGATCAGCTGCTTCATCCACAAAAAAAACGTCAAAACGTCTTGGTCTTTGAAAAAATGTTCAGACTTTCCAAGTTCCATTCCACGCCAAAGCTGTAGCCACTCTATTTGAATTTGAGTGTGATCAGATTCAAAGAACAGCCCATTTCATCCATTTCCCCTAGATGGCTCTGCCGCTCAGTTCCAGTTCTTGGATCTTCGTATTTCTTAGTTCCGTTTCCGTTTCCGGGCGCACAAGAGAAATCAAGAGCATCGACCAGCTCTGCTTTGTGGGACTTAACTCCTGCAGTCACGGCAGATCCAACTTGGGTCCAGCATGTCCAACTTGAGCAAAGCCAAGGCAGAGTGGACAGATCCGATACATGAATGAGCTAGGTAGACATGGTAGAGCTAGGTAGACTCACATAGACTCAGACAGCACACCATCTTTGAGTACGACAGGTTTTGTACGGCCGGCTGTCCGGATCTGGACGTGAGGTCCACAGGAGAACAAAGGCCAGAATGGCAATAGCCGCCTGCGAAGCCACGGGAATCAATTTCATGAATAGGGTGCTTCATGGTGCTTCAAACTAAGTTCATACGGCGCAAGACTGTACAGTTGCTGCAATGCAGGGCGTTGCGCAGCAACAATGCAACGGTGAGGTTTGGTGGCGTGATAAAAATAGTTGAATGATGAATGTGAATAACTTTGTTTGATCATGTTTGATCTCTATAATAGTATATATATATATGAAAGAACAGATAAGAACAGTCAAACTGCCAAATTCACCTGGATTGACCTTGTCTTTTCATCAAAGTCCATCTTAATTCTGAGAATTGCTGAAAGGTTCTGCAACCGAGGTGCCCAAAGCAGCTCGAGCGGAAGGCGCTTGAAAACTTGGAGGCATCTCGAGGTTTCGGCCAAGAAAGATACCTTCATATTTCGACCAAACATCTGACAAATGTATACAAATGTGCAATCAGATGCCGGCAGTCTGAGAAACAATGTCTTGATGTCGAATCTCACATACATTTAAATCATTCAGAGCGTCGCTATGCAGGAATCCAGTGGAATCCAGTAACCCACTGCTCCCTTGGCCGTATGAGTTTGCAACGGAACTCACCAGATTGCGACTGAGCATCTGCTGTGAGGGCTGAGGCTACTATGACTTGAAGAGAACATGCGCCAACTTGTAGTGCTCCTTAAAGCCCGGAAATGCTCTCAACTCAAAGTCACAAAGTGGGCATGCCTTGTGAAAATTACAATCCGCAAAAGAAAAATTAAACTCGGGAAGTCCTTTCGGAAATTTGGATTGAAAACAAACCACACCAAAATCATATCAAATCTGCCAAGTAACGAGGCCAGTCCACATTTCCTCCTTGCGAATTGTTGCAAGTTAGCAAAGAGCGAAGCAAGGGGAAAATTCTGGAAATTTGAGACTGGCAAGAGCTGAAAGCTACAAAGCGAAAGTATGGGACGAAGTTATCGAAGTTCAAAATAAGACCGAACGACAAACTTCTGCCGACGGCTGTTCCTCCGAGCTCCGTGAACCGCTGTCGTTAACCGAAGGCTAGGTGTCGTTTACTGTGTTGTTTCATTTGTTTTTGATGTCCTCCGAGCTCGTCGACCAAACTAACTGCTTCCAGAATAGCGAAAGGCCAAAAAAAGCTGAGGCAGGCCAACATGCAGGACCTAAGACCATCCACCGACTCCACCCGCTGAGCCGCGCTCTGCATATCATATTCACCTATACCAAGATTGTCAAAACATGACATCAACTTTAGAAAACCACTCAGCACTGGACCCATTGAAATCGTTGCAGCTTTGTGTTTCTTGGCTCTACAGAGTTTGAGCTTCCTACTTGTTTAAACATCTCTAGATTACAAATGGCCTCATTTGCCACACCGAAGTAGCCGCTAAGGAGCGCCTAAACATGCGCAAAATGGATCACTACGTCACTACATTTTGTATCGCCCAGCGGCCAGGCGCTCTGCAGCGCAAGTTCTTGCACAAAGTGAGGTTCTCCGACTTCAAACCTGCCCAGAAGCGGAACAAATGTCTTCCAGAAAAGGGAGAAACTGAGAAATTTCTTTCAGCGAAATTTCCTGGGGAAGCTCTTCTCGCAGAATGCATGTGGGCAAAAACGGTGCAAAGCTACAGATCCACCGTCAACAGCCACCCAGCTACGGAATAGTCTACATCATCGATTGCACACGGGAGGTCAGAATCACACACCAAGAATCCATGACATTGAGAAGAGACTAAATGTTCCAACAACTTGCTGAAAGCTCAACGTACTAAAGTTACCACGGGATTACCAAACAGACACGGACACGGGGGATTCCACGGAATTGTACACATTGAGCGCCTTAGGTCCAAGGTATGGACCAGCTTCCGCATGTGGTGAACACATCGCAGAAACATCCTTAGCGTCACTGGTGAACACTTCGCCTGTCCACACTTCCACATAGCATATCCAGTAGCAGCTGTCCAACAATCCGAACAACATTCAACACCCAACATTTCTGCATAGTTCTGCATATATGTATAAACATACATATATATATAATTTGATCCTTACATTCTTACAACTGAAACTTAAATTGTGTCATACCTGTCATTTATCTACGATGGATTATCGCCCGGAGCACGTTCACCACGCCCCACAGTTGCTCACTTGGACTCAGGGAGTAAACAGGGACGTTACTACTTTCTTCGGGGTAAAGATCCCCTGTGTCAGACTCTTTCATTGAAGATCATTGAAGTCTGGGAGAACCAAATGCGCATTTCGGTCGCAGCACTTTGGCCACGTTTTTAGAGAGTGGACATCCCCAGTCAAGCCCCACCAAGGCATGGCACAAGCGCTGGTCATACTAGTACCTGTTATAACCCTTCTCTGTGGTGGCCTGATCCGCCCTGTTGATCGAATGGGAGGTCGAAGTTTGAAAATGTTTGAAAGAATAAGTCTGATATCCGGTTCTGCCGCCAAGTCACGGTGCCAAGCACCCCTTATAGGGATTGTGTCAGGTCAGAAACAACATGAAACAACTGCTTAGATGAACTTGGTGGGAGAAGCATGCCTCTTTCAAGCTACTAAGATTGTGGGTTCATCGCCAGTTGAAACTGGTCAAGAAAAAGCATCACATAAAGTGCATCACATGACTGGTCATCAGTTTGTTAGTCGACCATCACTGACCTAGTCCGACATCCCTTTCGCAGTCGACTCTGAAGCTACCCTTTCCATTCTATTGCGACACTAGAAATGCCAAAGGTCCAAATTATGGAAGCACTACCAGTCAGCGACACTAGAAATCTGCATTATGACTTGTGACTAGCACTACTCTTTGTCAGCCTACGGAGATCCACTTTTGGTCCAGCCAAGCCGCGCAGGATTTGCTCAATTCCAGGACATCCAAACGCGGATTTCTAAGACCCGCCCACTGTCTCATTTAATAAGCTGCGGAAGCGGAAGCGGGCAAAGTGGCCAAGGCTTTCTAAGATGTTGACTTGCAACGAGAAAAAGGTGCTGTTGAAGCCAAGAAAAGCTTATGACTTATCTTACTTATCTTGGATAAAATCTGGAGAAACAAATAATCATCAAACAATCATCAAAATATCAACATATCAAACAATCATTTGTGTCTCGTTTGCGTCTGCTTTGAAGCTTCGTATCTGTGATGCAGTGAAGTGACGAACGTTGAGGTCAAGTCTACGACGGCACCTGAGTCAACTTGCATCGGTCAAAACACGATGACATTGGACATTGGAAGATGAAAATCGAGGATGAAAATTGATGAAAGTTATTGAAATTTCATGATTTTGATCATTTGCTCAGCTTTGCACTGACCACCTGGTTCAACTCTTCGAACCTGGCGGGTCGGTCCGGGTCGGTCCGGTGTGCTTCGAAGTCGTTGTGCTTCGACGACACGTGGAGTACACGTGGAGATACACGGCCAGTGTGAGCACTCCGGGGACCCTTCGGGGACCCTTCGGGGACCCTTCGGGGACCCTTCGGGACGGACTCTGCGCCTGGAGCGGGTCACGGGATGCGACGTGACCTTGATGGAGCCTTTGGAGCGCCTGGAAGCAAAGAATTTTGATGACAATCTAAAGAAAATCATTAAAATTCCAAATCTTCATATGCTATACACAATGAAACACAATATACAATATACAGACATGGTATAAAAGATTATAAAAGTATAATAAAGTATAGATGAAGATACATGGAGATTTGGGAGATACATAGAGGTATCTGCACACCTCAGCACCGACGAAACTAAGCTGAGAGTGACTCTAGATGTTCTGCAAATGAGGCATTTCAATCATTTCATTCATTTTAGTTTCAGCCAAGTAGCAACTGCTGGAGACCTCTTGAAAGCCTTAATTACAAAGCATCTCATCTCAAAGGCTGAAAACACCTGCAGCGTTTCCATTCTTCCAAGGCACAGATTCAGAAAAGCCGGCACTGCATGTGGCGCTGATGTGTTGTAGAAAATCACGGCAGATGTACCTGTCACATTTTTTATGTCCTCAAGAACTCAGCTGCAACTGCAGCATGACATTAATATCATATTGAATATCTTGAAACATCTTGACACATCTTGAGACATCTTGAAACGTCTTGAGACATCTTGTCGCAGTCGGCCTACAGTGCTGTTGGATGTGGACAAAATGGCACCATAGCCTTGACAGCCGAACTGAAAAACGACGAAACACAACGTACTTTCCAAAAGAGTGGTGCTGGGAATTAAATTAGAAATTAGAAGAGTGCGTAGCTGCTATAGCTGTAACTTTGCCAACGCAAGGTCGATTTAGGCAGAAAATGTCACCGGCTTCGCCAGCGAAATGCGTCGAAATGTGTGAAAAGGGAAGTCCATGCTGACAAGTTTCGAACGTCGGAGCGCCGCGGCAATTCGGAGCCTGTCACTGGGCGTGGCCGAGAGGACAAAGTCTACACAGTCTACACAGTCTACACAGTCTACACGGTACCCATCACTTGGAATCTTGGATGATTTCTGAAGCTCAAAGGATTCACGTGGCCTCAAGTCTAAGTCTTTTTGGGCCTTCTTGGAAGAGCAATGTTGCCATCTGCAGCACTTCCTTTGGATTTCCAACGTGTGGAAGATACGGCGTTGAGCAAATTGTCCCAACTTGACCTGATGTGCTCACACGGTGTAACTCTTCCAGGTCAGATCTACTGAGTCTACTAAATCTACATAAATCTACTGTCTCACCTGACCTCTGTGAAACCTCATTTTCAAGATGCCAAGATGCAAGTATCAGGTGCGGTCCCAGCACATTCTACGGGGCATATCGTTCCAATGGTTCCCAAAGGTGGCTGTAGGAGATCACAGACCTGTCCAAGGCAACAAGACGGCGACACGGCACAAACTTTTTCGGGAGCTTGCAGGTTGGTGAGAAATGATGAGAACATCTTTGAACATGTTTGAAACGTCCAAGTTGTACAATGGCATACGATGGCATAATATGCCGGTATACGGTATACCGGGTTTCTGGTATTCCGGTATGGCAGCGGAATAAGGCATAATATTACTCACCGTCATGATGGCCTGAACTGAGCCAGCCAAAAATGACGACAAAAAACGACAGGAAATCCATCAGGTTCAAATTTTGACAGAGCGCTGCTTGTGGCAGATTCAAAATTATCATAAATTATCATGATGTAGTCTTGACATGTCTTCACACTTGAGTGCCGCCTGGGAGAAGTTGGCAGCCGCATCATGGCAAACCTCACATGAGGGACCGTTCAAGAAACAACTAAAAAAAACTCATGTTCTCATGTTCTGTCTTGCTAAAGGAATTTCAGTTGTTTTCCTCGATTCTTTGCTCAGAGGCACGAATACTGACATTTATGCACTTGACAGCAATATCACCTCAACAAACTCTGATGAGGGGGGTTGCAGAAAGTCGCAGGTGGTGTGACATGGGACCAAGAGCAGTATAACAAGCCGATTCCGGATTGCTCCCAGACTGCCAGTGCTAACTAAATGAGTCAATGATCACATTCGACGATTCGACAAGAAAGTGCTGCAACCCAGTGAGGTTTCTCCTTTCTACCAATGAGGTGCTCAAGGGTCACGCGGCAGCCAGTCCACTAACATGGCTGTCTGAACACTCATTGTTATGATATAACTAACTGATATAACAATGGGTAATGGTCAGATGGCTAGGACCAAAATCATACACAAATCTGCATTATGTTTAGACAAATCTGAAACCATCACACCCCTACACTGGTTGAACAACCAAGGGAAGAGGGCACGTTCCTACCTAGACCCTCCCCCCCATCCCCCGACACAGGGGCTCAGGGAGGGAGGGCGGGATCAAAATCTTAAGGTAGTGGGTCTTGAGCCAAAAAGGCACTAAGACCCACCGTTAACACCACTTCCACACTCCATAAGGACCCTACCCAACCACTGCTCATGCTGCCTTGCTTCCAGGTAGAATCTTGGAGTAGTGACCAGGATCTTTGAGTATATGGCTATCATTCTACTGCACACCAACACCCGGCCTCTTGACATTTTGATCGACAAATGCCCTTGGACACGCTGGCTTGGTCTTGGCAAGTTTGAACGCATCCAGCTGCTCCATCCTGGAATCAGTCTGGTTCAACTTTGCCAAGTACGGTGCCAATCGATCTGAAAACATCTGAAACATCTGAAACATCTGAAACAACGTCATTGAACAGGTGTTGCCAGTCCACTTCATAGCCGTTTCAATCGAAACTCAAACGAAACACGTCAGCTGTCTGATGCTATCTGGCAGGTACCCAACCTGGCATGCCCCAGCAATGGCGTCTTGGCATCCTTGCTGATCAGTGCTGCAGCCGATGCCAATGCCGACAGTGCCTAGCAAATGCTAGTGCTCCTAGTGATAGTCCTTGTCAATGATTGCTTTACAGATTGACAACCACCAGCACAAAATCATCTTTCTGGAACAACAATATCCACAGAATAGAAAAAAAAATATGTTTCCTTCCTTACTAACTATGCATTGACTTCTTGGCCAGAAGGGTCCTGTCTCGACCGAGCCACTTACGAGCTCCAAAAACGGCTCGATCTTGTCACAAATCTCAATCTCCTCATCGTCACCATGACCATGATAATCATCATCATGATCAGCATCATTTCATCATTTCATCATTTCATCATCATGTCATCATTTCATCATCATGTCATCATGCCATCATGCCATCATGCCATCATGCCATCATGCCATCATGTCATCATCATCATCATCATCATCATCATCATCAGCAGCAGCATCATCATCATCATCATGCATCAGCATCAGCATCATCATCATCATCATCATCATCATCATCATCATCATCATCATGATGTTCATCCTGTTTTGGTGGTTTGATTGGCTCAACAACATGTGAGAGCGTGTTTCTGCGTCTGTTTGCGGCGACCAAATCTTCTTGTGTGTTTCAATGACAGAGACATTCTGGAACCTTCCACCACCAGTCCTTCCAGCACTTCGAGAAAAAGTGCGGGTGCTCTTCGCAAAACTCCTAGGTGAACTGTCTCTGAAAGTGCCAAGATTAACACTATAATAAAATGATCAAATGGGCGAAGGAACCCAGAGCCAAAGCAAGCGCCTACCCTACAAAGAGTCTCGAAACACACTTTGCACTTTTGGGCATTACCCAGATGAAGAAGTCAGTCGTGGTCTGAATCTAAACTCATTGGCCAAGGGTCATAGACTGGAACACCATCAGCATAATTGCGGCCAAAAAGAAGACCATCAGCCACACCTCCCAGAACAGTGGATCGGTGGTTTGTATCTGTCTGTCTACGCGTTTTCCAATGTTTTCCAAAGCCTTCATGAAAAATTCTGCACCGTTTCACCGTGAGTGCTCAGCTTGGGATGGCCTTACACTTAAGGGATACTTAGGGCATAGGGCTCAACTTGGGCCAAGGTGGGTCATCTAGAGTTCGTTGTCCCTAGGGAATAGCACTGAAAAGAAAAAGCAGTTAGCAACGTATTGCCAAAAGGTCTACCTAGAACGCCGAAGTTGCTGCAAATTTCCTGCGACTTCTTTAAAACCTGTCACTTTAGGTAAAACCGCGCTTTTTCATGCAACTTTCACGACTACTATGCGACTTTTGGGTTTCGGATTCCATGCGGGCAGTATATTGATGCGCAAGAAGTGCGCAAAATGTTCAAAGGGAAACAAAACACAGTTTTTCATGTGTTTTTCACATTTTGTCACGCCTTTTTCAGATTTTGTTCGTGCCTTTTTCACTCTTGTTTGTCGCAAAGAAACGAAACACGTGAAAACTGTGACGGATTTCTCCAATGTGGAATTGCGTCACTTTTCCTAGACTTGCGACTTTCGGACAAGACATGCGACTGTTGTCAGTCACCTTTTTTTCCCTGCGACTTGGTATGTCGCCTTTTGAGCAATCTTTTGGTCCTGCCTCTCTCTACCTGCTCTGCTTCCGGTCGAACGTGGGCTGTCTTCAGCGCAGCAGTCAAATCGCCAACGCCTTGTCAAAAGAGACGAATGACCCGTGCAAAGCTCAATGTTGCTTTTCAAAAGCAATGAGCACTTACTCTAAATGCCGGGATCTATTGGACATATGTAGCGAGAGACGGAGAATGAGGAAAAAACAAAAGAAGGATGGGCTGAATCAAATCTTCTGGTTGCTGTTTGACCCGTTCTTGCGAAATCTGGCAAATCTGGCTGTCTTTTCTATGCTGGGATCCAACTAGTCTTTTCGTTCTGCTATCTCTCCGCCTCCTTCGCTGATGTTGAAAGCAGCCGGTGCATCTGCACCAAATTGTGAAGCCACATCCATCAACAAAGGTGGAAGATGTCGGCTTCCGATCCTGTGGAGATGTCGCAGCATGTCGCAGCATGTCGCAGCATGTCGCAGCATGTCGCAGCATGTCGCAGCGCAGACGGAATGAGGCTGAAAAAGGCTGAAAAAGGCTGAAAGTTGTCTCTGAGCTTTGCATAGCTGGCATATAGCTGGCATAGCTTTGCAAATCCCAGGCACACGTTCAAAATACCCAAACCAAATGCCAGCAGCACCATAGGCATCACAACCTCGGTGATGTGTCGAGAAACACTTCTCAGATCACTGAGAAGTTGTGAATGCGAGGTGGCTGAAGCCTGACCTTGACAAGTCAGGCATCCGTCCAATATTTGTCAGGGGTCTATTCAATCTATTCTCGCTTCCAAGTCACAGTACAAGCAAGAGCCTCGAGTTGTCAATGCACAATCAGTGGAAATTTAGAGAAGAAAAGCTTTGAGGAGACCTTTACCAAATAGGCAATTGACCAGTCTCAAATGGAAAACTTGCATTCATTGTTACAAGTTCAATTTTACTTTGAATCTCTTACCGTCTAGTTCTGTTCAGTGTGCATTGAATCAACGGCTACATTTGACTAAATCCTCTGGGAGGTTCAAAGCCTTCCCGGCCTTCATGTCACGCCGTCCATATCGAGCGCGTTTCATGAAGAGCCTGACTACGTAGACCAGAACTCAAGACGAGTAAAGTCTCTTCAAATTTGACATCATACCCAGACAAAGGATAACCTGAAAACAAGAAATTTAGATAATTTAGATGAAGGATTTGATGCTTCCAATGCTGTCTGAAGTCCACATTCTGATCATTCTGATCATTCTGAGATGCTGAGCGATGGCAAGGCACGCGGCCAAATGAGTCACGTGTCGGGATCCTTCAGCTCTCACACCAGATGCCCACTCTTGGAGACCTAGCGAAGCAACGCAACTCACTCGACGCACTCGACGCACTCGACGCACCCAACGCTCACCACAAAGCTGTACCATTTTTGCGTGCAGAGCTACACCCTCTATGTCTACAGAGCACAAACTCGTTGCCAAACGAACTCTCACAGGTACCAAGCGCCGAGCCGTTTTGGGTCGATGGATGCTCTCCATCCATCTCTCCACTGGCAACCTTCAGAAACACCTCCTGTCGGAGCTGAACTCTGCTGACTCTGCCGACTCTGACTCACTCTAACATGATTCGTTTTGGCCGCAGTTTTGATTCGTTTTGATTCGTTCGTCCTCTAACTTCACCATGGACAGGCCATAGTGAGCCAAACCGATCTCATCCTTGTTCCTGACAAGCTTGGCAGCAAAGCATTCAATGTTACCGGATGCAGCCCTCATCAGCATGGACTTGACAATTCTTTTCCACTTGAGAAACACGTTGTAAGTATCAAATGCCGATTCCAATGCGGCGCCTCTCCAACTCATCAAGAAGGCCATGGAATTTCGATGTGCTCGAGGATGGCAACTGCCAATATCAAAGAAAATTCACAGAAAAAATGCTCCTTGATCTTTGTCATTCATGGAGACCGTCCAACTCCATTCACATTACAAACTTCTGGATCCAGGAAAGCGAAAAGCCCACAGACTCGATTCCCGTCCTGCAGCGACAGCTCAGCGCCTACCAGGAAACTCATGATTTGAGATGATTTGAGTCCATTGAAACAGTCCGATACAGTCCGTACACATTCAAATTGCAATCGTTTGGTGCCAGGTACAATATGATACAATATGGGTTTGTGATGGTTTGTGGGTTCTGAGTAGCAGCCCTACGGCCCTACCTATGTCGGTAATCTTCTGTGCTTCCGGGATGTGCCTCATCACTGCCTCAGAGGACGCCACTCTGCTTGGAGACTCCGAGACTCGGAGACTCGGATCTGAGAAGCTGACGCTTTGGATGGGATCCTCATCCGATGCGTGACACACATCCTGCAACATTCGTCAACATTCTATATTCAAATCATTCAACCCGCACATGCAGAAACCAAGGATTTGCCGTTTCGCCACAGTTCCAACATGTTCCAACATGTTCCAAGCTTAGCTGTCCTTTCTGGCACACATCAGCCGATAGCCTGCACCAAAATGTGCCTTGCATAGGTCCGAAGCAGTGTCCAGCTCCAGCTCCAGTCTATGTCTACATGCGACTCTTCGGCACCTTGAGGAAGAGAGAAGAGCCACAAACACAGAGCCGTCCTTCTGCCATGATCGCCACTCCTGAAATCCAAGACCACGAATGGGTGCAGATTTTCTTTGAATTGTTTTTCAGTCTGGGGCACTCTTACTTGCTATTTGCTGCGTTTTGAAACCAACATATATCATTTGCTGCATTGTTGGAGCTAAAATCTCTCATTTGTAAGCTATTGGCAGCGTTTTGGAGCCAAAATCCTTCATTTGCTTTGCACGCTATTTGCAATGTTTTGGAGATAAAATAGCTAATTTGAACGATATTTGCAACATGTTGAACCTTGGATCTCTTGTTGGCAGAAGATTTGCAACATCTTGGCGCCAGCATTTGCACAAAATTATTTGCATCATGTTCACCGCAATCTGAAAAGTCTTATTTGCATTGTATGCATAGTATTTTGGAGCAAAAATATGTAATGTGCATAGTATTTGCTACATGTTGAAAAATGAAACTGGCTATTTTTTTGGTTGTTTTCTCCCTTGTTGATAGCACAATAGCAGCATCAGATTGACAATTGTTGGGAATTCTTTAGGATGGGTTTAGTGCTTATTTACTTGAGGCACAATCGTGTTGGGTGCAAATAGTTTCATTGGATGTTATCATAATGGTGGTTTAGGATATATTTAGGGTGTGGTTTAGGGTTAATTAGGGTTGGTTTAGGGTTGGATTAGGGCCGGGTTTATACAGGGATACATGCATAAAGATAACTACAAATATGCATGCATATAATATATATATATAGCAGAATGACAACACCTGTTCTCCCACGTAATTAATGCTGTAGGTTGAATGTGGTACTCAGGGTGTATATAATGCGCACACACATGCATCATATATAAAGTGTAGGTTGAGGCAGAACCGTGTTCGGTGTAAATAGTTTCATTGGATGTTATCATTGTTGTCCGATAAATGCTACTATTAGATCTTGCCTTTCTTGTCATTGTCCTCTTATTCTCTCTAACTTATGTTTTACTTGTTGTCTGCACGATAGTTGCAGCATACTGCCAAGAAACCACGAAATCATTTTAAAAAAACAGAAGCCAAACAAAACACAAGCCAAAAACGGCCAAGAAGCTAAGAAGCCGCAAAAGCCAAGAAGCCAGACTGGAAAATAGAAAACCATCAAAAAAAGTAATACCACCTCCGCCACCAATGGTTTGCCACTATCGTGAACCGCTATCAACGGTGTTTCAACAGTCCATCTCACACATGATGTCGCATTTTTCCAGATTTAGAAAGAATTTCCATGAGATTTCGATATTTCCATGAGATTTCTACTGGTTATTTCTGCTATTTGTCCATTGCACCAGTGATGAAAATGTTGCCGCTTGTTGAAAGTTACTGGAAGGCTGCACTCTCCGAGCCCTGGATGCTGAGCGACCCCACGGTCGCCCAGGATCTCCGCCTCGCAGCTTTAAATTTTCGATGCAGTTTCAAATGGTAAAAATGCAGGTAAACACGTAAAAACCTCTCTAATTCAATCTAATTCAGCCACTGCATGAAGCTACTCTCAAACACACAAACCATCTTTATCGCATTTTATCGCAAATATCTGGCAAAAACCACGAACTCACAACTTCTGGTGCCTCGTCCATGAAATGCGTGGTCAAGACGACCACACGCCCTTCTCGAGCTGCGCGGATGATGTTCCATGTCGCTCTGCGGCTGTATGGATCCATACCTGTGCACTGCAGAAAGCTCTTTTGGTCTTCGATATCTTTCGATATCAATCAAGAATCAAGTTGCCGTTCTTCCACAGCTTTGGTCTGTTGCAAAGAATTGGAATGACATTGGCCGTATTTGTTGCAGTTTTGGATGCTTCATCTCCATTTCCTGCATTTGCAACTTAAACATCACCATGAAGTCCGACTGAAGTCCTATAATTATATTACCATATATTATATACCTATATATATATATACCTATATTCTCCCAATTTCTCCCATATTCATCCGTACGTAGCCCCATTCCAAGATGCCTGAAGTCGGCTCATCCAAGAAGACCACAGGAGGTCTCCCAATCAGCGCCAGGCAAAGCGAAAGCTTTCTCTTTTGGCCACCGGACAGAGCTCCTACAGAAACGCTCCGACCCGGGAAGACAGTCGCAGTCACACAGTGATTCGACGGGAACACCGTCACCACAACTGCAGGACATGTCCTGCACGAGTTTGTGCCTTTTCGGTCAAACCAACCTGCTGCATCATCTCGTTGCAACGGCTAGTCACCTGCAGATTTGAGCACCACGATGCTTTTGATGCTTTTGCGTGCAATCTTGACTGCAAGCAATGCGAACATCTTCAAAACTCAAGTAAGCAATTCAGAAATCATCCTCTAGTCTTTCGCATTTATGTTATACGTTACATGGACGTTACATTTTTGTGCTAGGTCTGATAGCAGACACTGCCGGGTGGCCTCAGCAGCAGGCACTCCTCGGAGTTGGGCATAGACGGTCAAATGCTCCCAGACCTCGCTGTCCGATGCTCGCAGTTCTCTCTGTCCAAGTCCGACGAAAGACCAATGTGAAGGGACACAAGAAATCAAAAGAAATGAAACATTCACATTGGGACGAGTCTAACACACCGGCGTCTTAAGTCTGGGACAGAGTGACAGAGTAATACAGAGTAATACAGGGTAATACAGATGACAGATTTCTGCATGTTCAAGATTGTTCAAGTATGTTGTAGGATCACATTGTTTGCAAAGTTGTGGCTCGTCCAAGTCACTGTGAGCTCGAGCCACAAGACATCGTGTTGAGGGCCTTGATCCCAATTTCACCGTGGACTCAGAGGGCTCATGCACTGCACTTGGGCTCCGGCAAACACCAATCACTTGCCGGATGGCCTCGAATTTGAAAGCGCACAACAAAAATAGACAAAATAAACAAAAATATACAAAATGCCAACTTCTAGTTGTTATCCTGTACAATTGATGTTTCAGCAAGTCTCTTATTTTATGTTATGCTTTTCTGTTATTACACTGAGTTGCATCGAGTTTCACTGTCGCCGGCCTGGATACTGTTGCTCAAGCGGTGTCCAGCAACGATGGCATCTCCAGAACTGGGCTCCACCATTCCAGTGAGCCTCGGCAAGGCACATCAATCTTTCTTTTAGATGGTGAAATATGGTGAATGAGTTAGTCATCAGACATTTCTAGCATTTTCTAGCATATCCAACACATCCGAGGTGTAATTTCTGAGTCATACACCAAAATTAGAGGGTCCCTAGAATGAAGGCTTTTGAACCCAAGGCACATGTTAATCGTTGTTGACTTGCCAGCTCCGTTGTGGCCCAGCAAAGCCAAAATCTGACCTTCAAACATGGCCATGTCCAAGCTTTCCACGGCCACCTGCAAAACACGAGACATCTATGCCAAACTGTTGCGCGACAATTCTTTCTGTTTATTTGTGATGTCATATACTTGTAACAGTGCAGCTTGTATGTTCTCATCATATCTTATCAGAAGTCTTATCATGTCTTGCCCATTACTTCACATTTCTCTCTGGTCTGTTTGGGGAGTCGGAGTCATCTCTATGCTTTGGCTGTGGCGTCACCTTCTTCCCTGCCGGCGTCTGAAATTCTCGTCCCAGGGCCAGCGTTCGCACCACGCAGCCAGAGGCAGCAGATTTCAGCCTCAAGGCCTGGGAAAAGACCGGAGTAAAATAAGTAAAACCAAATATCAACATGAGGCAACGGGGAACAACACCAGGTTAAGAAAAGGGCAAATGGTTGAGAATGGTTCTATCATGGTTGTATCTTACTGCAGGTAGAATAGCATTGAACTATACACAAAAGAACCGTGAAAGTGTCATCACTATCATTTCAGTTGCAGTTTTCTCTTATCCAACACGTCCAACACATCCAACACGTCCAACACGTCCAACACGTCCGGAGTTTCCAGAATATCCAGTGATTCAGCATGACTGTGTGATCTCACTGCGTGACTTCTGGGACCTCTGATTTCTGGCCTGTGGCACTTCTTCAGCAGCTGCACACTGCGCTGATGGCCCTTGGAGCGCCGCCTCTTCGGCTGTCGCAGCAGCATCACCATCGGCTGACCTGCGCAGACTGTGAGGTCCTCTTGGATCTCGTGCATAGACCTTGATACAACCTATATACATCTACCATATATATATATATATACACTCTATGTATATGTGTATATATATATATACATAGTATATATATATACTATATATATATAATCTACCTACTAAATTTATCTAGATAAAAAAGAAAACGGATTTACATAAACGGTGCATGTTTCACACTGCAGAGCCTCCAAATGGACTGCCAGAATGATCGTCGAAATATGAAGTTGGGAGACAGGCGCACGCCATACTCTTTGGGCAGCACGCGATCAAAGTACCAACCCAGCGCCGTAAACCTGAGCTCAGCAAGACGAGGAGCCTCGCTTTTGTCATGTGGATGTCGTGTGGATGTGGTGCACAAAACGAACATCGATGCTTCTTGCGTACTGTCTGCAAGCAAAGGGCAGAACAATATCTAGGCACATCATGGCCAGAACAGATATGAAGGAGCAATTTCTCACCTTGCACAGTTGGAGAAATGCTCTGAGGATCTCACTTTCCCACTCACCAGGATTGTGCAAGAAGGACCAAGCTATTTGGGGAACTTGGGGAACTTGTTGCAAGATGTTGCAAGCCGATCAAGTGCCAAGTTTCTGAAAGCCTGAAGTTTTTACATTGCAAAGCTGCAGCATCTCAAACCGCGGGAGTTTGTGCCAAGACACTTCCATAAAAACATCGCCCCATTGCACTCCCACTCGAGCAGCTTCAAATTTCGCTATCGTTTGCAGGCCAGTGCAAAATGCAGCGTTGGGCATCAACATTAACCTCAAGTCAGCAGTTGAGAACGATTGACACTAAAGCCAATGCACAACGATATAGGCTCAGTGGCCTTGAATTTCGGGAATCTGTCAGTGCTTCCGCTGAACGTGGCAAAAGGCCAGGCCAACAAAGCTGTGCCAAGCAACAAGATGGTGACACTCTCAGACGGGGGACCCTGCCGATTCTGCGATGAATACCTGTGGAAGTGTTCTTGAAATGCAATTGCTGAATATTGCTGAAAATTTAGACAGTAGACATAATAATAATAATTATTCAGACAGTTTTTTTTTTTGCAGCGACAAGTCACACAATCCATTGCGCAAACATGATGATCATGCCAACAATTCCTCCTGCAAGGCACACTATAGTCATCTTGGCCAAAAAAGGAACCGAATCGAACGCTTCAGTTTTTTAACTTGTTGACTGCTTCAACAGGCGGATCTTTCTCCTGTCCGAGATTGGTTGAAGAAGCAATGAATGAACCACGCCTTGGCTCATTGCAACCAACAAACACTGTATCTACAGATTAGATGCTGGGCCAGGCTCTGTCATTTGCCCAACGACTCCACGACCATATCAGTTTCGACACGGCAAGAGTGTGCTTGTCCTGGTGTAATAGCTAGCTAGCACTTTATGTATACATACATATCCGCCGACCCTGCCGACAACAGGGGGAGCGCGTCAGAGAAGAGGGGAAAAGAGATGGAGCAAGAAGATAAAAAGCACAGAAAAGAGTAAGAGGCAAGAGGCAACAGGAAAGAGGCAAGAGCCAGCAAGACATGGAAAAGCAAGCGGCGAAGCCAGCGTTTTGGAGGATTGGGGGTTGCTGGCATAGGTCCGTCCTTCAGTGGCATGGTGTTTCGGTGTCGCGAAGGCAATGTTTTGGAGGCTTGAAGACTCCAATTTGGAGCTAGTTTCTTGTCAGTTCAGACAGCGATTTGATCTATTTTTTGATGATTTTTTGCTGCGCTCAGGAAGCAAGAACATCGTAAAATACATTGTTTTTGTCCTTTTCGCATCTAGACACTACATCTTGCAACACGGTGAAAACTGCGCAAATACCAGTGTTTTTGCTAGGCACTGGACAAAAAACACTGAAAATACCCTGATTTTTGCTACCAAATGCCAAAAAAAAATCGTAAATACCGTGGTTTTGAGTTTCCGAAGCGCAAAAAAAATATCAGCATTTACAGTGTTTTTTGCCCCGAGGGTTTCAAAATATGCAAAACCACTGCCTATTTGACGATTCTTAGGGTCCACAAAATGCGAAAATATATAGGTTGTGTTGCAACGACGACGACGACCACGACCACGACCACGACCACGACGACGACGACGACGACGACAACAACAACAACAACAACAGCAACAGCAACAGCAACAGCAACAGCAAAAACAACAACAACAACAACAACACCAACACCAACAGCAACAGCAACAGCAACAGCAACAGCAGCAACAACAACAACAACAAGAACAAGAACAAGAAGAAGAAGAAGAACAACAAGCACAAAAATGCAACAAAAAGATGGTAAGATGGTTGCAAGCTGCGGTATGACAAGAACATCACACTGTGCTCTGCACGTGCGCGCACGTGCAGAGCACATGAACAACACCAACGCTCACACTACACATAGTCCTTATGGCATCGCCGGTGTGCGAAGCTCTACAATAAAAATTGTTCTTGTCCTATGGATTTGGTTGTCCATGTTCCCAGGGCAAATGACAGTGCCATTCAAAGAGGGCTGCAGTCCAGGAAGCAAAAGCGAGGAAGGACATGCACCACAGCCAGAAGAACATGAAGATCAATGTCAGGCTGGAGCCGGGGAAAACCTGTCGCCACGCCGCACTGACAAGGAGACAGGGAGTCATATGTATATTATATATATGTATACATATGTATGTATGTAAGTGTATATATATATATATATGTATTTATGAGGATATTTATGTGTATATATATATATATGTATATTTAAATATGAGTGTATATATATATAGATATATGTATGTAAATATATATATATGTATGCGTCTATATATATATATATATATATTTATATTTAGGAAGTAGATACATAGCACATGTGTATATATATATATAACTATAGGTCGCACGTAGGTACTTTGAGGGAGTATGTGTGCCACGTAGGTCGTCTAAAAGGTAGCATGTACCTAGTAAATGCGAGGCTGGTAGTCAGAATCGCTGCAAAAACCTAGCAAATACGAGGCTGGACCTCAGAAATGCTGCCAATAGCTTGCAAATAGAAGGGAACGGGGTGCTACCTGGGGACCCATACCATTGGGGGGGGTAGGAACACGGAACACCAGACCATATATATGTGATTTGAATATGTTTTATTATTATTATCATATATTATGTATTATACTATATATTATATATCATATATCATGTATTATATTATAATACAATATATTATATTAGATCATGTATTATATTATATTATAATATATTGTATTATATTATATCATATCATATTATATTATATTATATCATACTATATTATATCATATTATATTATATCATATCATACTAGATTATATCATATTATATTAAATATTATATATTATATATTATATATCATATATTATATATAATATATTATATATTATATATAATATATTATATATCATATGTTATATATTATATATTATATATTATATTATATTTATATTTATATTTATATTATATTATATTATATTATATTTATTACATTACATTGCATTACATGACATTACATTATACTGTATATGTATATTTTCATGATATATTATATTACATATATTCTAATATATATATATATAATATATACTAGATTTTATATAATATATATACATATATATTATATTATATATAATATATATTATATTATTTATTTTATATTATATATAATATGTATTATATTTAAAATAATATATATATATTATATTGTAAATGATATATTATTGTCTATTAACTATTATATTATATTACATTATATTATATTATATTATATTGTATTATATAATATTATATTATATATATGTTTTATATTATATGTTGTAATATATATATATATTATTTTATATTAGATTATATTATATTATATTGTATTATATTATATTGTATTATATTTTATTGTATTCTATTATATATATATATAATCTGCTCTTTCCAGGAAGTTGCATGACCAAATATGATTCTAGGCAAGCTGCATAGAATGAGGCCACAATGGCGAAAATTGCACATAGAGCAGCAAAGATGATGCCATAGGTAACAAACCATGAGCCTGAGATTATCTGAAATCTAGCTTTGAGCTCTGAGGATAGTTGGTTTTGACACAGTCAAACTGAATCACTGCCATCGCTGTCCTTTTTCCACGTGCCCGCCCTGCATCCTGACTGAATCTGTGAACCTGTCACCTCCAGATGTGAACCTTCAAAAATACCGGGTGCAAAACCCAATGGAGCTTCGTGAAGCTTCTGAGCTTGGTGGAATTTTGAGCTGAGCGACTGATGATGGCGAAGCTTCTGACGCCAAGCATCCTCAAACTCTCCCGGATCTTCGTCTCCTTCTCCGAGATCAACTCGTTCAACACCTCTTATGTCACAAGAGTCGCTCCAAAATCAAAGTCCTGCGAAACTTGGATAGAAAAACCCGAACGTAAAAAGAAAAGTCGTAACATGTTCAAACTATATCAGATATCACATCATATCACATCGGATATGGCATCCTTCAGTATTCGAAAACCGTGTCCTTCGGTATCCTTCGGTTCCGAAAACCGAGTCCAACTCCGAGGCCTTCTTCTGAGTGTAGAGGAAGGCCACGATAAAAACGAGTGGAAATGCCAAGGCGATCAGCTCCTTGACACCACATTGCCGCGCTTGGCAAACTTTCGATGGCACTTAGATGCACTTAGTCACTTAGATGCACTTAGTAACTTTTCGGAAACAACATGACATGAACATGAAGTAACATGTTGTAACATCTTTCCACATTTCACACAGTTAGAGGAGGGGACCAGGGGACTGTCAAGTTTCGTAGAATCCATCGATCACTCTGCCAGCCACAGGCATTGCCAAAGCGTTCACGCTTTGAGGCAAGTAACCTTGCAGAATCTGGCAGCATCGTATAAGATGATGTTGCAAACGCACGAAAACGACCAAGGATAACCAAGGTCAGTTTTCTGGAGACGCTGCTGAAAGCTTTGGACCACATCAAACCGTGGGATGTAATTTTAATATTAAATATAATATATTTTTTATATATTTAATTTAATATTTAGATTTATTAAATAACCGCATTGTCAGTGTTGGCATCGTATCCACAAGATCCCACTGCAGAAATTCCAGGGACGCAAATGCTCTGCCAGCACTGCTTGCGTCTCTGGCGTCTCACCCATCGCCCATCGTAAACCTCCCTCCAAAAGCAGTTCTCTACGTGTCTCCTCGGATTCGGAAGCCATGCAAATCCCTTGGAACCCCTTGGAACCCCTTGGAACCCGTTCGAATCTATTCAACTTGTTCAACTCAGAAGCAAACGAAAGGAAGCTGAAGCTTTCTGCACTCCTCAGTCAGCTCAACATCGCTGGGCCAGTCAATGATGTAGCGATCGACTAGAAGCTGAAGAGTGATGAAGCCCCTCTTGAAATACGTAAAGGCCTTGGAAGACGGATGTCCCAGGCTACCCTTTGGACGAATGCCATCTGCTCTGACATCGCATCGCATGATGTCCAAACGGGACCCGGCCTCGTTCATCCGGAGCCCTAAATCTAGTGGTCGAGTCGGTGGCACTTGTGTGAAAATTGTTGTGCCTCGGTTGCATGCTGCACAAACAGGACCTTTATGACACTTCAGAACCCCTCAAAGGTGTGAACAAAAACAAGACTGATCAGGCTAGTCAGGCTAGTCAGGCTAGTCATTCAGGCGAGCCAACCGGAAATCTGAAACAGACTTGTCGAAGCCAGTCTTTTTGCCGTCGTCGGTGCCGGCAGAAACGTTGAGACGGATACTGTATGCCTTGGATCAAAATGTGAAAATGTGACAATTAGATACAACTAGGGCCGCAGTAAGTTCTCCTTGTCTGATTCCGAAACTCGTCAAAACTCGAACAAACGTTGCCAAGATACCCAATCTCCAGGAGAGCCTTTCTCACCCGACGGTATCTGATGGAAGACAATCGCTCCAAAAATTCGAGCACCCTTGGCTTTTGGACATGGAACACATTCATGAACACATATGAACACTTTGACTTTCCTCTGAGCAGAAAATCGTGTTGAACCTTTGTTCAAACCAAGAGTCGCTTTCCATGTAATTTTCCAGCTCGGAAGAAGTGAGGATCTTGGGATGAGTAAGATTTGCAAAGCCAGGCAGAATTCCTGGATTGACTTTCTTCTTCATGCCTCGGGGCAAAAAAATTGGGGCATTCCAGGTGGAGTTCTGGGTGGAACTAGTGAAGCTGTTCCATGATGTTTGTCTTAGCGGCTCTTAGCCTAAGGGATAGAGTCCTGACGTGTTGCAAATGCAACACATGCCCAATCTGAGGCAGGAGCGGAACATCCAGAGTCAGAGCCATGCACAGAAGAAATGAAGAGTGCAAAACCAGGAATTCCAACATGATCCCAAAGGCATGTGGCAAATGCTACCCCCCAAGTCGAGCTCCTTTCTCAGCCCACCGTGCCCTCCCCTCACCTGAACCCGGCGTACAGCTTTGCAGGCAGTATGAAGGAGGTCTTTTAAAGGTTTACGGTTGGCAAGGAAATGGCAAGGAAGTGAAATCCAAGGACATGCAAAAAAGCCCCCCGAAACCTCAATCCCATCCCAAGACTTTACTGATAGTTGTTCGGTGACATTAGAATGAAGCTGCTGCTTAAACCAAGTCGCAAGGCAAGCTCTTGTTCTCTGCCTGGAATGTTTGAATTGCAGCTTTAGAAGCATCCATGGTGCACTATCTTGGACGTTGGTGAGGCTTATGCTGGTCTGAAAAGCTTCCAAACCGTCTCTGAGCAATGTGATGGTGCAACATTATTCTTAGTGAGAGGACCGCAAAATACAAAGCTTGAAATTCTCCAGCCTTGCCAGGCATGATTTCTGTCTCGAGCTTCCCAAGCAAATCTCGCTCAAGAGGTACGCAAGGGATGTTCCTGCAGCATAGCTTCCATAGCTCCCATGCGCAGGTGACGTTGTCTTGCAATATCTTGCAATGTTCCGTTGGTTGTTGCTTCGGCAGTCAGCGTGATCAGTGCCACACAACCAATGTGGGAAAGAAACCGAATTTGCTTCCATCGGAATGAATCAAATTCACCCCCCCCCCACGCAGAAGTGGTTGAATTGCTCCCAAGGAGCTTCAGGTAGAGATCTGGAAACCATTCTTCAGTGATGGTTTTGCCTTAGGAAGATGAATACAAACCATTAGAGAGCACACAGTACTGATCAGTACTTTAAACTTTGTAGATCGAGGTAAATCTCAGGGTAGTCCCAGAACTGCACACCAAAGTGCAAGATCTATCAAGAATCTTACATCTGCAGAAGCGTCAAGAAATCAGAACTGCTGATGTCAAGGGGCGGAACTTCTCCACCTTCGGAAAATCAGAAGCATGATCCGCAGCTAAGACAATTCGTTCGCCAGTCCAGTGCAAGTAGGCCAGGACCACGCCAAAATCCCTGAAATCGCAAAGGAACAAGTCCGAACAAGATGCGATTTACGCAATGATTTAAACATGTTTTAAACAAGACAATAAGATCAATATCTATGAAGAAGTTATTAAGACTGTGAGACTCGCCCGGGCTGCACGTTGCTGTGATCTGTAGTGATTGCAATGGCTTCAACGGTCCAAACTTTGGAAAGCGGTCCGAGAGGCACTGGCTCCAAAAGATAATGTGTCCAGGCATTGCAGTAAGAACGCGAAGCCAAACTGGAGGACGCCTCCAGCTCTAGGCCTTCCGAGAGTCACAAAATGTTCCACGGTTTGCATGTGCAAAAAGCAACGGCTCTGAGTGACATGCCGAGACTCTGTCTTTTTGCACACACATCGCGCACCTTCCACACACACGGTGCTCTTATTCTTCTCAGGCATGTGGCCACCCCAGCCCTCAAGGATAGGAAGCTCACACTGGCCAGTTCCTGAAAATTCGGCAGCAAGGGCAGCTTGGAACAGTCCAATGTATCCGCTATGATTTCTATCAGGACGTCATTGGGACATGATATCAGAAAAAAGAAACCTGATACCTAGCCTGATGTTTCTCACATGGAAAAAACCATGCCCAGGAGCCATTGCATTCGGACTTTGCCCACCACAGTAGGGCTAAGACTGCGATTGGCAGAAGCAGCTCACAGCAGGCAGCCAAGGGGCACCTCAGAAAATCATAACGAATCGAGTGACGCCAACACTGAGTTCAGTGTGAGGTTTTTTTCACAACAAAAAAGTATCAAAGAGTCTTTGATTTCTCTACAAGCATGAACGAAAGTGAAGGTCAAGTAAGATCAGATAAGTGGAGAATTGGAGACCGCAACTACCAGAGTACCAGTAACGTTGCGATTTTCGTTCTAATATTTTCTAGTCATTCGAGTCATTTCGAGTCCCAAAGTTCTGCTGGAACTCTGCGTCGATGCACAGCACTGCCAAGGGGCCACGGACAGCACTGCGCTGACCACTCCCTCTTCTTTAGCAAGCGGTTCCTCGACTCGAAAACGGTGCAACTTGTAACCGATTTAGATTTCTTGTGTCTATCAGTTCATGTGAAATCAACTGAGAATGTCTGAAACTTGAGAAACAGATGCAAAAAGGTTGTAATTTCCCACAGAAAGATTGCACATGACTGTGCTGTGCAGGACATCCTTTCCGTGGTTTTCCATGAACTCTGAAGCAAGGTTCTTCCGCATGAGCGCAAAAAAATGCCTTGAGCTGGCGACTCGCTGCGGCACCACCCCTGCCACAGTTTGACACGACTTCCTCTTAGACTCTATACGTGGAGAAAAACTATCAGAAGCAATGAGAAACACTATAAAGGGATAAAATCATATAAAATCAACAAATACATTCCATGAATGGATATGGGACTTGCATGGAACATAATGATAGTAGAAAACCATGGTTCAACTCATTGAGGTTCATCGGTTAATCGATGTTAATCGGTTTTCTATTTCTTGCGCCAAACCCTGAGCATTTCGATACGACGTCCCCGCCTGGTGCTCCACTGGTTCCTGCGGTTGCATGGCCATTGCGGCCATTGGAACCGATCAGCACTTCTCGGCCCTCCATGGTGGCGAAGCGCCAGATGTCCGTAAGATCAGGTGATGCTTGGATATGCCTAGGTGCTGGGTGATGTCTTGTCTCCCTCTGTGGTTTGGTTGCTTCATGATCGCGTGTGCTATGCTTTGTTCATCTGTGTTCATAGAGTCTGGCAGCTATTCCAACCGATGCCATTTCTCACGCAACCGACCACATATCAGATTGACTCAACACAATCAAGTGGACCTGCAAGTGGACCTGTTGCTGGACCTTTGTTGCTTCTGCTGCCGTGGCCATTTTGATTTCCGAGTGCAAAAGCTGCAGCTGCATGAATGAAGCTGCAACCCTCAAATGAGAACCAGCAAGAAATTCCAGGTCCCAAAGAGCGAATGGGTCTTCAAATCTGGGGCATGTAGCGAAATCACTGTTGCCTCAATTCTGGGAAATGGCAAAGTGTCTGAATGATTCAATCAATGCAATTATCTCACCCTTTAGTTCCGTCGAGTATGTGAGGTCGCACATCACACATAGCGACCTACGTCTGTAGTCTATGTCCAGCCACTTGCCACTTTCAAACAGAACAAGACACCAGAGAGCAATAAGATCAACAAGAAACTCAGAACAATAAAATCAAGATTGACATCATTTGACATCCATCCCTTAGATCCCGCAGCCACAGATACATCAGATACACCTGGTTCAGCATCAAAGCGCCAGCTATAGGAATGGGACATCACCCGATGGTCCAGGAGCGTCCTCCTGGAGGTCGGATGCTGTCGGATGCTGCTGATCACTTTCGACAATGTTGCGATACCGCCGATAACGTGATACCCTCCTTTCGAAACACTGCAACCGTCCACCAGTGCTTTCGCAAAATGGAATTCAAAGCGATTACGTCCAAAATGCAACACATTTTTACAACACATTTTTGCAACACATTTTTGCAACACATTTTTGCAACACATCTTGTAAGGCACTTTGCAGTGCGGTCTTTGGAGCTGAGCGTGCCAGCTTCCACAGGCGCCGTGCCTCGGCCTGGCATCTCGTGCGCATGGCGCACAATCGGCAAAAGGATCTAACACACATATCTTAAATATGTCAAATATTGTAAAACATCATATGTAATACATATATATAAATGTATATATTATATATATATATTGTATAATGTTACTTGTCATACGTTTCCAAAAGTGTGCGGCACTTCATCTTTACCGAACTCAAAATCACCCATGAGCAATGTTCATCAATGTTCACTGTGCCTCTTCACCACACGAGGCGTGCCATTTCGCCAGATCCACCAGGACCTAAAGAATCCAAAGCGACGATCCACCAGGACCACTATCTCTCACTCTTCAGAATCCTTCAGACAGAATCTGTCAGTTTCTCACTTCATTCACTTCATTGATTTTGAAACCTCCAGAGCCTCTGGCAAACCACATCTGCTGAGGGAAGTCTGGCTTTGCCGTGGCCTTTGTCGAGCTTCAAACAAATCAACATGGCCATAGCCGCCATAGCGGCCATAGCGGCCATGGTGGCTACAGCATCAAACGAACGAACGAGGCGCTGCGAGGCATCACCCCAGCCCGAAGAAGCCTCCGACAGCTTGCTACAAATGAAGTTGGCAATCCTCAGAAGTGCACGAGCCTACTAAACCCTCCCGGAATTTTTAAGTGCTTTTAACCTGGAGGCAGCAAAAAGATTTAGTAGGTGCACGAGCCAAACAAGAAGGTAAAGAATGTTTGGAGGCCCGGGGCACTCTCGATTTGTTTCAGGAATGCAAGTCTCAGAGTCCTACGTTGTGAAGAATCATTTGGAATCGTTTGGAATAATGAATTGAATAATACATAATAATAGCATATAATTATTATTGCTCTGTTTTGCCTTTCCTGTTGGACAAGCTGTTCGCTGTTCTGAAGCGGTCACTTCTCCAAGTTCAACGATTTGCGGCAGACCTTGGACAAAGACAAAGGGATTCTCGGTGCCCCATGGGGTGCCCATGGGGTGCCCCATGGGGTGCCCCATGGGGTGCCCCATGGGGTGCCCATGGGGTGCCCAACGGCTTCAAGTGACATGTCATGTCTGTCAGCGTCCAGGTTTCCAGCTTCTGAGAGTTCGAAAGAAGCCATCGGATCCAGAAGAAAGGCCTGCCTGGCTTTGGTGGATGGATCAACAAAATCAACAAATCCATATCTAAAGTTTGGAACACGACTGAATACGAAGCATCGGCCAGGAATTTGCTGGTGCAAATAGGGAGCCTCAGGGGCCAAAGCATCACTTCGAAGTCCAAGACTTCTGCCCTTGCTGCACCTGGAGAATATTTGGGAAGCGACAGGACAGGTGGCACATGCAGCTGCACTTGTAGGCATTCTTATGGCATTCTTTACAAACGCATACGTAACTAGGATTAACTAGGCATACGACGCATACGGCGTGCATACGACACCATACGACGCCGTACGACGCCATACGACGCAGTTTCATGCAGTTCCATGCAGTTCCGTGTTACACGGTAGTTTCGGTGGCCTCTCTCAGGCAGAGCAAAGATTTGGGCCAGGCGAAGAGCTGCCTGAACCCAAAGAACCAATTGGAACCAGTTAAAACCAAATATGTTCCATTGTAACCGATGTTATCGATGCAATCTGTTCCCTCCAATTGTGTTCCAAATGAATGATGGCAGATGGCAACGAGCTGAACACCTGACGAAGGCCACTTAAAGGACGCTCAGAGGACACTCAGATCCAGACTTTGACTCTAAGTCTTGGAAGGTCGGCAGAAATGGCACGTACCCTGAAGCAAATGCAAGCAACATACGTTGATAGTCTTTGGTGTATATACATATACATATACATATACATATACATATACATATACATATACATATATATGTATATGTACGTATCTATAATGAATCATATACAAATATACAATGGTTGACTCAAGTTGACTCAAGCATGCAAAATCGCTCTGACCTCCGCTCTGTTTTGAGGTCCACCTTGAGTATCTAAGTGACTCAACTAAGGACAGAACAAGAGCTCTTCATGGGACGGTTCAGAAGAAGATACCTCAGAATCCAAGTGCGGTCGCTTAAAGAAGCAGGATGCAGAAATAGTTCGATATAAATTCAATGACGCCAAATGACACCATGGTTCATGGGATCCAGTAGCAATGCAGTGGACCTGAAGGTAACACGTCTGGCTTTGTCATATCACTGCTAGATACTGCCAAGTCTAGCTGCTAGTCTAGCAGTCAATTCGACCCAGACCAGGCACTGGCAAAGCCAATAAGGCTTCAAGAGCTTCTACCCGCTCATCCCCTCGGCGACATGCACACTGCAATGTCACCGCAATGTCACTGCAATGTCACTGGCCTGGAAAATCAAGGACCAATTGACCAAAGACACAAATGCGCTGGGAAATCCCCACAAATTCTTCCACAGACCAAAGACGTTTTCCTCTTTGACCCATCTCCTGTTGCCCTGCGCTTTGACAGCTTTCACATCCTGCCTTTAGACTCCATCTCTGGCTCGAAGGCATCAGGTTCTCATGGTTTAAAGCCAAAGTAGTTCAGAACAAAGTGTTGTGTCCTGTTCTAGACCTTGCTGTAGCAAGTGATCGCAACCTTTGGTCATCAGTCAGTGTTTCCAAGTGTGGAATTCATGTCTAGCCCAAACTCACTTGGTGCTGTGCATAGAGCTTGGGTTCCAACTCATTGTCAACGTATCATGCTTTCACTCGATAGCTTCAAGGTAAATGGCTTGCTCACAAAAAGATTTCCCTGGAGCGAAACAATCCAGATGCCGAACCACAGTTTCTCTTTGCTAATGCTCAGCACTTGGGTTCACAAAACACAACTGGCACATGCAAAGCAGACTTTGTTGTGACTTTGGTACGTATTAGTATTACATAGTATTCTGTATTCATAAACTGTATTAGTGACTAACTAGTGACTAACTAGTGCTCTGTAGCTTTCCCAGATTCTCGGTTCTTTTTTGACTCAAGACATTGGAGGCGGAGCGATGCTGAACCCGATGCACCCTGATCGACCTGGCCGAAGGATGCCAAGAACAGCTTGGATCTTTTGGATCTTTTGGATCTTTGGGATTCAAACGAACATGCAAAAGAAATCAAAGAAATCAAACGAACACATCTGATCTGTGCTAAGGTTAGGAGAGAATCTGTTTTTTTCTCTATCTTTCTCTCGTGCCGATCTATTAGCTGCTAGCCTGAGTAGTCTTTGGTGTCTCTCCTGAGAACGAGACATTCAAGACTCAAGACATTGCTCCTCTGAAAACAGGGCACTGTTTCCACAAAACTTGCATGACGTTACGTTGAAACTTCAAACCAATGAGAACCCGTGAAGAAATGAAAAAAATATGAAAAAATGCCTCTAAAATTTAGTAAAAGGTCTCTAAATTCTCTAAGATCTCGATCTCTAAGACATTGGCCCCCTAGATCTTGACCGCGACGAGCTGGTGCTCGAGGAGTCACGCTCCTTTCCCGTCACACACAGTCATGTCACCATAGTCACCATATTTCACAAAGCGAAGCACAAATCGAAGCAGAATGAAATAGAAGAATTGAAGAATTCACTGAAGCCATATTCGAAGCAAATCCCATACCAGTCATCTTTGGGTACTGTGAGATCCCTAGATGCACGAAGACAATGCTTGGTCTTGCTGTGCTGTCTCTGCAAGATTCCTCATCTCGCAGTTCATCGTAGAATTCTTCCACTTTTGCCAACATATGTGCAGTTGGAACCTGGCACTTGAGAATCGAGAAAAGATAGAAAAGGAGTGGAAAAGGAGTGGAAAAGGAGTGCTAGGACAGTAGGAGAATTATGGAGAATTCAAAGAATTCACAGAATTCAACGCTTTCGTAAAGTTTTGTAACACTTTCGTATATTTTCCTATCATGTTCACTTCGGTCGAAGTCCGAGACTCCGAGGACTCCGAGGACTCCGACCTCGAAGGGCAAGGTTTGAGGGGTCACAGCCTCAGTGACCGGCACACCCGAAATTTTCACATCTTCGATGATTCTTCAATATCTTCAGTACCTTCAGTACCTTCTGTACACCTTCAACATGTCTTCAATTTGTCTTCAATCGATGCTTCGCTTTAATCTCTTCGTTTCTCAGCCCATTGCTGGATCCAGCGGCTTGTACCTCCGCTATCGACCAATTGTCCAATTTGGTCCAATGATTCACCGTAGCGGCCATAGATTTAGCCAGCCTCTAACCTCCTGCTACTGCAATGCAATGGTTCAATGGTTCACTAAACTGATGTATTCAAATGCTTCCAACCGTCAAGTCCAAATGTTCCCAGTTCGAAAAACTTCTCGTCATATGTCATATACTATACCTTGCCTGATGTTCTTGCTTGCAGCCCCCTCAGCATGCACAACTTAGTTTTGGAACACAAACACTGAAAGGAAAGGAAATCGCTGATTGTTCATTGCGGTTCCCTCGAAAAGACATCAAGCGGTCTACTCAGCTTTTGCAATTCCAGAGCGGAACATTCCCAATGCCCCTATCGTGAAAAGAAGGTCGCCGTGGACTAAGAAGTTGGCCAACATGTTGGATAGAATCCCCACAGGCACAGTTTCTGGCCTCTGGATTTTGTCAAAGCGGCTAGAAGCGGTTAGAAGATGCCAAGAGTAGAGTTAGATGCCAAGAGCACTAGAAGATGCTGGAAGCAGCACTTTGGGAGTCACTTGGTGCCGCTGCCAAAACTTGGTCACTTGGTCACTTGGTCATTTGCAAGTTCTGCCCTGGTGGGACGAGTGGCGTTTGAGGCCCTGGTGGAACTCCAATGCGCATAGGTGCTGCCTTGACAGAGGTGACACAGGGTGACACATGGTGACACTTGATAGTGACGCTTCTTGTAATTTCCAGTCCCATTCCTCACCTGAAATCCAGAAGATCTCACATCAGCCTGTCAAAAAGTGACAGGAAAACCACAAAATATCACAGAATCACTGGCTCACAGTTCAGTCAAACAGCGGATTTGCCGCATGAATTGTGCAATCTCGGTGCCTGCCGCAAATTTGGCATGGGAACCTGACCCTGACGGGCTCCCAGCTGACCCAGCTGACCCGGCTGACCCAGCTGACCCAGCTGACCCAGTGGACGCTGACCCAGGTACATGTTCTGGGGCGGGACTGGAATCGGCATCGGATTTGGTGGCACTGGCGGCACTGGTCGGAGGGGCTGGGGCTGAGTCTGAGGATTTACCTGGCAAGGCAACGGATTTCTTGTAGCACCATAGGACCAGCATGCACTGACACTCTTCAAAACAGAACTGTCATAACTTGTTCAAGCAGTGTGTCAGTGAGCTCGGAAAAAACCATTTGCAAAGATGCCAAAGAAAAGACGCAGCCAAAACAGTGAAAATGATTGGGCAAGCCTGCCCGATTCGCAACAGGTTCGCCAGACTTCCTCCCGCATTTCCAGTTGCCACACTTTCGTTGACCTGAATCACGAACATCCAAAAACCAAAGAAACGTCGCTGGCGAAAATGAGAAAAAAAAACCATTGAAAATGCCGCGCCTGCCCACGCAACAAATTTGACAAGCTGGCAGGTGCCTCCAAAAGCATCACATTTTAATGTCAAAGGTCTTGCAAAATGAAATCAGAAGTTTCCCCAAATGACTAGCTGATGAGTTGTTTTAAGCAAAAGTCAATGTTGAAAATTGAAAGAATGTGAGGGAAAAAGATACGAACGGCGTGAAATTACAAGGGTAGAAAAAAATGTGAGATCTTGTGAGATTTTGTGAGGTGAAATGCAGAGGGCACCTGTGGAGGTGGAGGCGTCGGAACGGGCGGTTTGGCCTCGATGTTCGTGGCAGAAATGTCCAGAACCGCCAATTGTTTTACACTTAACTGACTTAACTCAATTGACTCAATTGCCTCAATTAACTCAGTTCAGGTTTTCACGGTTGTTGTTCCTCGTTGTTTCGCGAGAACCTGAGAAAACAAACAACGAGCAACGACTTGCAACATAATTTGCAACAAATTTCCGGGAAAAAAAACAACCTAAGGCGTTTCCTATCCAACCTTTAAATTTATTAGTAATTTATTAGTATTATTAGAATGATTTTTTTGGCCTTTCACTTTGAACCCGCACCTGCTGGTAGTACTCAGAGCCCTCGCCATTGTACAAGAAAGCAAACCTTACAGTTTCCGTTTTTTTGCACGGAATAAAGAAACCCTCCGGCTCTGAAACTCACTGCAGCCGAACACAACATGTTCGCAATCTCAGGACTGCACTGTGGATTATTGACATTTTTTTGCTTGACGGTAGCTTCGAAATCACTGCCATTCCTGACATGAATAGTTTTTTTTGCATTTTGCCAAACATATTGCACGTTCACAGGCCCTGCCTCGCGATGTGGTCCGCCATGATTTCAATGCGTTTCCTCGATTGGCGCACCATTTCAAAACATTGAGAACGCAGGAATCCTCAAATTTTCTTCAAATTGCATTGCGAGTGCTCCGTCCCCACAGATAGTTTTAAAAGACTCAAAACACATAACAGAACCCCGGACCTCAAGTCAGGCGCCAAATTTGAACCATCCGCCATGGCCTTGCGACATTTGGGTTTTGAGTTTCCAAAATATTCCAAAAAAAAAAATCAAATGCTACAGTGAGGTACTGAGTCAAACTACCAAATGACGGCAACATTCAGAATTGCATCAACCTTCAACCCAGGTCAAAAGTGCACACCGTCGGCAACATCAAGGTTCCGGCACAAGCAAAAAGAGCGTCAGCTGTTTTTTGCGACGATTGTATCCAATGTTTTCTTTGAAAGACGAAAACCAGCACAGTCTAGTCCAGCGCGTTGTGACCCTATGAAACAACATAAACAAGTCTAGCATCGTTTCATTCATCAACAAACACTGTCAAACATTGCCATGGAAAACAACGTGGTGCCAAATGATTTCCAACAAAGAACATTAGTTCATGGTTTATTGAACAGCTGACGTTGTGAAATATTTTTGTCAGGGGTTCCATGTCCTCCATGCGGTTTCAATTTGCAGTGTATTTGCGGTTCCTTTTCGCGGCCATGATGCGCATCTTGAAAGCCAATATTTAAAGCTGACACAAAACATGTCAAACACAATGACGTCAACAAATAGTTGAAAGTTGCCGAAATAAAACATAAATGAATTGCAAATTGGACTGGCTGAGACATTGTGCATTGTTAGTATTTATCACAGTTGTCTGGCTTTGTATGCTGGCCACAACTCAAACGGACAAGCAGTTTTTTTCCAAAAGGGGGCCGATGCTGACTGGCTAGGCTCTGGGTCTGGCCTAGGAAGCGCTGGGATGGGACAAGAGAACTGTCCTTACAGTTGGGTGGGCGCTTCACATCTAAAATGAAACAGCGGCATCCACCTCGCCCTCCCTTGAGAGAGAAAAACTTCGGATCAAACGTTGTGACCCGGAATGAAAATTCCTTAGCCTACCAGCAAGACTATTCGATCACTAAAGTGAGTTACATCGTCTGGCTTTGTATGCTGGCCAACTCAAACGGACAAGCAGTCTTTCTCCAAAAGGGGGCCGATGCTGACTGGCTACCCCCAATCTGTTCAGCTGGCCGCCTGCAGGTTTTTCAACAAGTTGTTGAACCACATCACGGCTGCTGCAGATTCATTGGTGGTTTCTGCAAGAAGAGGATGTGGCACATTCCTGGAAGGGAAATCGCTGATATTCGCTTCAGTGGGTACTCGAGCGTACCAAGTGCACAAGTTGTTAACTGCCTCACGCTCCAAATGGTATCTCATCAGTGCTGAGGCAGGTTTGCTCAAGCATGTTCCACGTATCAAGGAAAAACGCACCCATCATTGTCACCATAACAGACTTGCAATCCGTTCTTCATCCTGTCCGCCCAAAAGTCAAGCGCTAAGACTGCTGCAGCCAGTTCCAACTCATAGATGATAGTCTGCTTATCACCTGCACCAAACTGTCTGCATTGTTGTTCGTCAAGGGGCAGACCAAACCAGCTTACGCATTCTCCCAAGTTGTTGAAGATCGCAGCTCCAAGTCCACCGCAAAGCAACTCGGGTTCAAAGGCCGCATCTGTAAAAACAAACCATTGCTTCATCGCCTGTGCAGAGACGATTCGTGGAGCGCAAAGGCTCAGGCGTTGGATCATCACCTGAAGTCCAACTTTGAGCTCATCTCGTAGTTTTGCACTCCGCCCGTAAGCATGTTCGGAAAGCTGCTTCAAGACCATTAGGCCCAACCTTCCATGTAAGAAAGAGTCTGCAAAACCCAGTTTGCCCCGTAGGATCAGCGCATCCTGTTTTCCAAGTTCACCTGCCTTCAACGTGGCATGGAACATTGACAGCAAATCATCAACGCGCTGTTCTGTATTCTTTACTGCCAAAACACGCTCACCAGAGCTAGACAAATCAAATTGTACTCCAAGCGCCTGGCAAATAGTTCCTAAGCTAGTCGCCTTTTTTCCGTGCATGTCAAACTTCCAACCAGTGAGCATAAAAAACAGTTCCATAGAGTTCTTCGAGGATTCCACGCTGTTAGGCATGTAGTCATCATAAAAGTTTGCGGCCAGCAGAAAAAGTTCCCTTGTACAAATCGTGTACAGCATCCTGGCCAGACGTAAGAAGCTGTACACGCTGTGTGTTGCTCCAAAAGGTAAGGTGCGCAACTGATACACCTCTGGCCTGCCGAGCTCACAGTTGTAAATGCAGAAAAAGGAGAAACGCAAGTGGTCTTCATGAATTGGAACCTGCCTGTAAGCGCTTTTTAAATCGTATGCTTTTGCCACCAAATTGCTGGCCCTTCCGGTGGCTTCGCAACATCTGAAAAACTTATTTTTCCAAACCCAAAAACCGTGGACATCCTCCAAAGCGCGCGTTAAAAACTACGCAACAGGAAAAACCAAACACCTCAAAACACTGAGCATTACTCAAAGCAAAACCAACATATACACCATAGCGTATATGTGAAAGCATGGAAACTGAGAACGTCGTGCATGTGTTTCTCAAATAAAGTTGCGCATTCGAAAAAACCGTCTTCTCGCCAAATAAAACCAACTGCTCTGAAAACATTCGAACATGACATCAATGCCGCATGCGGATCACTCCTTTTTACATCTTAGGTGATGGGGAATTCAAGCCGCCCGCTTTCGCCACGGACCCCACCCTTGTTGAATGTGGCGTCTTTGCCATTTCGATGAAACTCATGCTTCCATTGAAAGCATCTCTCAATTCCCCTTCCGGGACTTCCAAGTCTCTTTTTAAAAGAGGGTGATCCATCAATCTCGAAGGAAAGTCTGCTATGTTTGACGAAGAAGGAACCCTGCTGAACCAAGGCAAAACACAGTAGGTGTCCAGGTAAGTTGCCGCAAGCGTACAAATAGCCGTTATAGAAGGTGAGCTGGAGTAGCCCTTGATCAAAGAAAATTTGGAGCCTTCATTGTCAATGTAAACCAGGAGAGGCCGCGACCTGAGCAGATCGCACCAAATCAAAAGCGCCATCGAAACAACCAGTGTCTCCAATTCGCCAATGGCGGTCTGTTGGCCACCTGAAAGAAAAATAGAAAGCTGTTGTATCTCTACCCAAAAACCAAACCAAGAAATCACTCGCCCATCGCCAGAAACCAGCACTGCACCAAGCCCAGACCCCTTGATCGGATCAAAGCTTGCGTCCGTAAACAAATACATGGGTTGCAGCAATTCACGATGGAGTCGCCTGGGTTCTCCTCGAAGGACCCTGGCTTCAAGTAACTTCAAAGAATCAATCATGCTATCCGAGAGGTCCGCGCAAAAAGGCGAAGCATACGCATGCCTGGTTATGTTCTGCAAGGCGATCTTTCCAAGCCTCCCAAAAATAAAGGAGTCACAAAAAGCCAAACGGCCTCTCAAGATCAAAGCACCCTTTTTGTCCAAAGCACCTGCCGATAAAACACCATTCAGCAGTTCGACTGTCTCCTTGATACGCTTCTCAGTATTGCAAACACTAAGGATACCGTCTGCACATCCTGAAAGATCAAACTGAACCCCAAGGGCCCTGACCAACTGTGAGAAATCGTCGCTCTTTGGACCCTCCCTGTCGAAGTTCCAACCAAGTATATCCAACATAAGACACAAGGCAGCTTGAGTGTTGTTTGCCAGGTTTGGAGCTGAGAAAGAAACAAAATCGTCAAAATAACATGATACAGGCAGCCTCAGGCATCTAGCTGAAACCCATTGAAGGAAACGTGCACACCTGATGAATGCATTGACCGCCGTTCGCGATCCGAAGGGCAAAGCTATTTGACGAAAAAGTTCCGCTTTCTTGCTTGCCGGTGAAAAAACCGAGAGAAAGGAATGCTTTGAGGAATCGTCTGAGATGGCCAGTTGCCTATATGCCGATGCTAGATCCAGAGATCTCCCCATCAAACTCGTACTCTTTCCTGCAGCATGTAGACAACGCATGAAGAAAACACAAAAGGCACTAATGACATCCGGTCCATCCACAGTGGCCTGCTCGAACGAAGTGACAGTGGCATTAACCTGACTTTGTGAAAGGTCATCAATGGGTCTCACCTTTCCCGCCTGATCCAATGGAAAACGTCTTGAAACCGTGGCATCGTCGGGCAGGCTATCCCAATCCAGTGGGCCTGACAGCCACCCTTTTTCAACTTCCTGTTGCGTCTTGTCCCACAGTTTTTGATCAAGCTCTTCAGAACCGCTGCTCCTAGTCATGTACCGTAAGGCCACATTGGCTTTCTTAGCATTTCGAGAAAGATCAACTGTACTCATCGTGGCCGGCAGCAGTTTCTCAGGCAAGACATGAGAGCGTGGGACATCCCCCACCAGTGAAAAACCATTTTCCAAATCGGAAGCCAGCTCCGCATCATCATACTTTTCTTCATTAATGATATGCCTCATCAAACAAAGTCTCTTGCTCTCCAGAATTCGCCTTCTGTCCATAGGCATGGCAGCTTTAATGACCTCCTCCTCCTTTAGAAAGGATCGCGATAACCGCAACCACTCGCCAAGCTTGCTGCACCTATTGTTTATTGTGTCAACTTCGTCGCACTCAGCTACCCGTCTGCAAGCATCTCTGACTTCCGCCGGCAAACCTGAAAAAACTGTAAATGGATGTCCCACACCGACAGCTTGAGTGAGGAACTCTTCCGGTCCCCACCTGATACCAAAAACCCAGTCGCAACAATCACCAACTATTTCATCCGATTCTAAATCAAAAGAAATGGGAGCACATTTCCCTTCCTGTTTATCACATTCCCTCAGGCGTGGCTCACAGCCACTAACTGGGATCTGATTTGCATCAGCCAGTGATTGCAACGCATGTGTACGCTCAATAGACAGTTTGAAACGACGGCACTCACCCCCTTTTTTGCTGGTCGTTCGAAGCAGCTTGCTCTGACATGGAACCGTGCAGGACTGGGTGAGCCATGCGATTCTTGTACACTGTCGCAAAGTAGAATTGGCTAACTGAAATGAAAATTGACATGGTAAATTTGAAATCACAACAACATGAGAGAACTCAGGGACGGTGGATAATTGAAGCGCCTTGGAAGGTTGTTTTGCTGCAGCGATGGCATGAAAATGGGACAACTTGAGTTTCTTCGCATGTCTTGTAACATGAGGTAACTTATATTCACCTGCAATAGCTTCCAAAATTGCTGTAGCCAGTGCCTTGGCCAAACAAGGTGTGTATTCAGCTTCCAGAGAGGTATCAAAAACCCCGTTATTGATAGACCAAGGTGCATGCTCATGCTGCCCATCGCACAAAATGTTCAGTGACATCACTGCACTGCTGTTGGATGCCAGACATGTACGCTTCAATCTCTTTCCACCGAACATGCAATTATGCAACTCACAATAAAACGGATCTGTATTTTTCTCAACGTCCTTCCAATATGATGTTTCCCAAAGCAAACTTGTAAATGGATTCTCCACCGTCCAAATAATATTGGCTGCATGCAACTGTTTTATCAGTCTTCGCATGTAGTTATAAAGGCGATTGGCCGCCCTCAGTTTCACCGCATGCAGCCCAGTCAGGCCTGGTTTCCCATCTGGGAACCTTGGGGTACGTGAAGGTGGAGGTCCATGAATTTTTCGGCTAATGCGCCGAAATCTCGCTCGTGACGCTGTGCCGCAGGGAACTCCAAAATGGACCCAAAGGCACTTTCCAGACAAAGCCCACTGCTCCACCAAGGCCTGGTGGTCCTCCTTCGTCAAATCCAAACAGATAACTTTGACTTTCTGTTTGCTCACTTTGTGATCAACTCCAAAGCTATCTGGAAAAAAGTGTTTCATTGCATAGGTCAGGTTTCCTGTACCACAAAATAATTCCAAGCAGAAAAATCCGGGTTCTCCAAGCTGAGGTTTCACACCTGCCGTGCTGCTTTGGCGTTCAAAAGCCTGAGGTTGGAGCTTCCTTTTTCTGTCTTGCGATGCAGCTCCAATAGGAGTATCCTTTTGTCACTGATGCTCCGTCTGTGGGTGGCTCTTGTAACAGCCTGGCACAGCACAAACATGCTTGCGAGGACATGCTGCACCCTGCTTGCAAGAACCCAAATTGTAGCCAAAGCAAATTTGATCGCCCTGGGGCGTCCTCGAGTGCATACCTTTCAAGGACTGAGGAACAGGATCTCGCTTCTTGCCTTTGGATCCTTTATTGTTGCCCTTGGATGCACCTTTTTGGTACTTGTTCTGACTGTACTGCCCTTTCGCACCTGCTGAAGGCTCCGGGCGCTTCTTGTCCTTGTCCATCTTGTCCACGCCACCTGTCCCTTGGCTATGGCCAGCCGGGATGGGAAGCATGAAGTATGTCACCGTCATGTCCGACTCCAATCGCTCGATGAGCGGGTCCAATGGCTTCCCAGCCCCCGCAAACGTCTTCAAAGACCCTGTGAACTGCTCGCTGATGCGCACAAATGCCTGGCGATCTGCACGTAGCAATTGTGCCTGAGTCACCTTCTGGAAACCAGGCGCCGGTGCCTGAGCATACAAGGCAAACAGTCTGTCCACCCACTTCCTCATAACTTCATAGGAAGCCAAGCCCGTCAGGTCCAGCGCCAAGGTGCGCCTTTGGAGCGCCTGGTAAAGCGCCAAGTCTGAGCTGATGCTGATCTCTGAACTGCTCGCCTGCTCCTTCACCACAAGCGACGTCTTTGTAGCGTCGAGCTGTATCTCTTTCTCAGGCTTGGATCCCATCAATTCCTGTTGTCTTGATAAGCATCTGTTCGGGTTGATGTAAGACACCTCATTGCGCTCAATCATTGCAGCGCAAAGATCGTATAGGGCATGGGCTGGTTCCAATGGCCCTTTGATATCCAAACCCCTCAGATGCTCCCTTTGCCTCTCCAATCTTGCGTCTCGCTCAGGCTGAGCCATACGCTTTGGAGTCACATCATCTCCTTTTGCCGTTGCTTTGAAGCTGTGCATCATCAAGGTCTGACTCTCAAATAAAAGCCGCTTGAAAGCTGAAAGTTCTGCTATGGTTGCTGGGCAATTCTCACGTAGCGTGCCCAGGAACCTTGTGACCTGCTCATCTGTAGCTGTAACACCTGGACTCGTAACCGCGAAGCTGAGCTTTGCAAACGTCGCCAATGAGTTGGCCTTGAGGGCTGTCAACCAAGGCTGTGTGAGCCCTGCATCTTCAGCCTGCTGTATGAAGGTGGCTTCAGAATCCAAAATGGATGAAGTAGCCATCGCACAAAGACCCACGACCCGGTATCGTAAACTATAAATCAGATTGCAAAGCGAAAATTACCCGTCAATCAAATCGACAAATCGACACGATGCAGTAAAACCCTCATAAAGCACACGTCTTCTATTCTAACAATTCTTGAAAGTTCTTTGAAAACAAAAGGCATATTCATGAGAGTTTCCCTGCTCTACAAAGTGGTTGTCCAAACATACCACCGAAAAAATGTGAGATCTCTCCGCGCTTGTGTTCTCCCCCCCCAGCTCAAACGCTGGGTCTGTCTTTAAGCCGGAAACATGCAGTTGCTCTCAACTCATGTCCGTGTGTTCATGCCTTGCTGCATTCAGCAAGGACACAACAATGTGACTGCTTTCAGTCAAAAGCCTTTGCTTGAATCTGATAAACTCACTTCAATCCAGTGCATGCCCTAGACGCTTTCGTCAAAACATCCATGCAACTCACAAGCAAAAATGAAAACACAAGTGTGATCATGCAGCTGAACCGTCAAACAAATCAACAGAGGCAACTCAATCTCACTTTCCGAAAAAAAACTCACAATCTGAAGTTGCACAAGTCTGGAAATTGATCGACCACTGAGGTCAATGGCTGGCCTACGCTTTTTCCTTTCTCACGCATGAGCTCTCTCAAACGTTTCTGCTCCTCTTGGCCTTCTGCCGGTCAAGGGCCTCAACTAGCCCCCCAACGCTGGTGATCACCTCACCACGAAAACATCTGCTGCACCTAGCATTCAAAGTTGAGCACCCTTGTTCCAACAACTCAAAGTTGGCAGCCACAACCAGCCTTCCACAAGCTGTCTGCTTGCTCACATTTGAGCACTTGTGGACAACATGACTCCTTTTGTTGCGCCAAACCGGACCAGGGATGTCTACGTTTGAGACTGCCTGATCTTCCTCATCGCTGCTGTCACTGGAGCTGCCATCAGTTGAAGGAATGCTATCTGAATCTTCATCATCTCCATTAGTTGGAGCCGGTGACATGTGCTCTGTGTTCAGTGGTGTCGGTTGGTCATACCCGTCATCACTGCCTGCAATCTCAGCCGGCCCAAAGGCAGGTTGTGTCACTGCCACAACCGGTTCACCTTGTGCATGGCCCTGCTTCTCCGCCAACTTCATGAGGTCCAACATCCTGCTAGTGCGGGACTCATCAGGCCTGAAATGGTCTCTTCTGATGTTTGACAGCATGCTGCAGTACAATTGTAATGGTCGGGTCAACATGTCCCGGGAATACACCATCATTGACTTTGCGCCTTGAAGCTCATGATGACCCAGTAGTGTACGAGAAGGTTCATCCAAGCCATAAGCACTGCACCAAACCAATGTTGTATGTTTGAAGCTGTGCGACGAAACTGAGCTCTCTGCATCCGTCTTGAGGAACCTGTTGACAAAGGCTCCAATTTCCTCTGACGTGCAACTTCTGGCACAGAGACTTCCATCATGTGCAGGTGCCCTGCAAATTGCTCCGAAAGGTTCTGAATCCAAAACAATACCCAGTTCCTGCATCGCCTGACACCAGTATTTTGACCAATCCGTGTTTGTCACACCAACCAGCGGTGCCACCAACGGCATGTACCTCTGCTTCTTAGCCAAGCTGGTTGCCGTCTTGTGGAACTTGGTTCTGGCTTCAACAAAGCCAAAAAGCTCACCATTGTATTCAGCCCTCTCTATCCAAAATTGATCAACGTACCTGAGGTCTGACCACCTGGATCTCGAGAGGACCGCAAAAATGACACCCCCCAGAAGATAGGCATCCCTGACATCCAGACCAGAGCTCATGGCATTCTCCATAGAAGCCAATTCCGACGCCTTGAGAGGCCTGGCCGGGTGGTACATGTCTTTGGCAAGCATCAGTCTCTGCGCTCTGCCTCTCAACTGCGGGTCTGCCAACAAATCCTCTGGAATTGGCAATTGCATGACATACTTTCCAAATCTCAGCGCCTCCAACAGTGTAATGCCCTTTGATGCAGGCCCAGCATGACTACTCACTTGTCCCAAATACTGCAAACACATAGATCTGTTCCATGGGTCCCAGTCTGTAAATGTCGATTGCAACCAGCAAAAATAACGCCTCAATGTTTGCGCACGTTTGATGGCCGTCCTGGGTGACTTGACCCCCAGGGCATCTCGAAGCACCTCGCTCTGTGTAGAGCTTGATTCATCCACCTGCTCGGACAAAAGCGCATGTCCTAACATGCCAGGAAAACCCAAAATCTCAAAGACCTGGATCCATTTCTGAATTGCCTTCTCCCACAACAGTGCATCTTCTGCAAACATGTCTCTGTCAGGTACAACTCGAATTGCAAAAGAATAAAATGGTAAGGTAATGTCCGACTGTACCAGGCTCTTGGCTGAGGGCATCTCTGTTGCGGCCTGTTCCGCCATGTCAGCACTTGTTGCAGAAACTGGCAATAAACATGCAGGTGGCAAAGGAGGCACAACCCTAGGAAAAAGGGATTCATCGTCACTGTCAAAAATCTGTTTCATTATTCCAGATTCCCATGGCATCTTCAACTCAACATCGCCCATTGCCGCCATACGTGCGTCAAACAAGGCCCTATTGTAATCTGACCGTGAAACTGCAACGTCTGAGCTTCGTGCATCTGCATCACCCTGAACCAACTGTGAAGCATCGCAACCCTCCATGTCCACGACACCAGGTTCACTCAAAAAGCCAGCTGGAAAACTTTGCTCCGGGGCATCGGTTGCAGAAATTGGCATTGAATACACTCCGTTTTGCATGTCAAATGAAATGTCTCCATCCAGGGTCCCGGCAGTTGGCTCCGAAATCAGTGACATGAAGCTGTCTTGCTCAGGTGTCTCGCACTGACTGTCTGTATTCATCCAGTCTGTCCCTAATGTCACTGCTGTCCATGTAAATTCCGTAACAAGTCCCACAGAGCAACTGCAAATCACCCAGATCCAAAAAAGCAAAACAACGCACTTCAACGTATGCAACCCGTGATGAATGGTCCCAAATAGACCAGGTCGACAACCAAAACTGATGGATACTAAGGTAGTCGTACCTCTCAGGATCCCACTGCAACCTGAACATCAATACCCCATGGCTGGCACAAAAGAGAAACTCACCACTATAAAAAGTGGAACCCACCCTCCCTCCCTTTGGAGGCGCGTACTTGAAACATAAAATGTCACACGAATATAGAATTCAGTGGATAACTGTTAAACTTGTTTGAGATTTCCTGTATGCTAAGTGTGTGTCATCCTTGCGCAGATCTTGCAAAACTGAACTCTGAAAAACAAACATTGCTCACAATGTAAACTCAAATTTGCAGCACGGACGAGTTGCCACAAACCCTGATGCACAGCGCAAGGACGCGGAGGACGCACGCAAACGCAAGAGGAGTCCTACTAGAAGCTGCTCTCAGCTTCTTTTTAGGGAGAGGAAAAATAAAGTTACATCAGCGCGCTGAGTCGCAACTCTCTCACAACAGCAGCAAAAGTGTCCACCACGTGCAAGTCAACCTTGTTTTGTGAGGAGGCTGTATCGTTAATGCCAGAGATCGAAAAGTCATCGATCATACGCGTCTTGTTGCGTTGTACCAAGGGAAATCTCCTCGACACAACGCAGCCACTTGGTACTTCAGGAAGAGGTCCAATCGCCCGACCTTTTCTAACCTCCCACGTGTCTCAGACAAAAGTTGCTGGTCAACCTGTGCATCTCCTGAAGATTTGCATGCCCAAAGAATTGCTTGGTTTCTCGTTGGTGCCTCTTTAAGCAACTGCCCCATAGTCAACATGCAAGGCTTGTAGAGCTCCTCAAAAGTGCTGCACTTTGGAATGTCACCAGCCAACGGTGAACCTACCCTCAGTAAGTCATGGACATCAGCATCCTCATACTGCATCGAGGAGAGAATCTCTGCAGTCAACAAAATCCTCTTCCCAGCTGTAGCAGCCTTGACATGAGCAGGCCTTGTCTCAGCGTCTTGTTGCTCTGAGACTTCAAGTTTTTGGAACGTTTGCCATTTGCGACACCAGTGCATTCTGGGACTGCAAAACTTAATTTTGAAGGATGGCCTGCTTCCACCGCTTTGCTTATAAACTGCTCACAATCCCATGGCAAGCCAAAAACAGCCTTGTATGACCACTTGTCATCCATTGTACCTCCGTTTTGCAAAGGCTCCTGATCCACCCCCATTGTTGAGCCTGAAGCAAAAGAATCACGCAAAAAGCGTGAATACTTGGGGACCAAGACAGTTTCTTGAGTCTCCGTTCGCAACTGTAAGGGTGTCTGGAGTTTACCCAATGGACCGCAAGGAATATCTGAAGCATTCTTTGCAAAGAAAACTGCAGTTTGTTGAAAATCTGGAACAAGGGGAGGAATTCTTTGTCCTCGTGGTTGCACCCCAGCCGCAAGTTGAGAGTGTTTTGCCAGCAAAAGTGGGTGGCTAACTATGTCATGAATGTCATGAATGCAGTTGGGTCGTAACTGCACACCGCGTGCTGAGGCAACCTGTAAAATAACTTGTACCAAAGCTATGCAGAGCTTTCGTGGGTACTGTGACTCCTCTGAAGTGGCCCAAACCTTTTGGCCTTGTGCATTGGTAGTAAATCCCCATCCAAGGTGTTTGTGTCTGCGATCGCAGGTCACGTCCAGCTGAACAATTTCTGGAAAGGATGCCACAATCCTTGTCTGCTTGTCTCTTAAAGATCCATACATGCATGCCTGAAAGTCTGTTGCAAACAGCGGGTAAATCCGCTGCAGTTCCAGCACAAAAGGGATAACCCACAAATATGGCACGACTTGCAGTACCACACACGGGTGCAAAATGCACCCACAGCAAAAGAGGAGAAGAAAGCCACTCTTCCAACAGCTCTGTGTCCGAAGCTTGCAACAAGTCTAACTGATAGATTGTGCATCTTGCATTAGGCTTTCGAACTTTGTCAACCGCCATTCCACCAAGGCCAAACTGCTTTGATACTGAGGTGAGGACAGCTCCACCAGCAAACACTTCAAGCATGAATAACTGCTCAATGTGGAGCCCCTTCAAATCCCTCGCATCGCCATCTAGTCACTTGTGTTGAGAAAGTGGATGTGGCTGCTGACATTTTGGCTCAGCACAAACATGAAGCCCTTTAGGGCAGCGATCTCCAGGCTTGACAGTGCCTGAGTGAGAACAGCCTGAAGAGGTGTTGAACGCAAAACAGATTGGTTCATTTGACGCTGTCTTGTGATACTTGCCACGTAACTCCTGTGGCATTGGTGGGGTCTTACCTTTGCTTGAAGATTTCCCTTTTCCTTTTCCAGTCTGTGGTCTGGGTCCAGTCGTCGGATAAGGTGCCGGCCTTGTTGTAGAGCCGCTGGAATGCTGAAGAGGTTTGGCCAGTGGGGCCAAGTAAAGTGCTATAGCAGGATCACCTTTCAGACCAAGCAGAGCCTCACCAAGAGGAAAAGAACCATCTGCTGCCTCACGTGTGGTGATGTTCAACGTCGCCAACTTGGCCCATGCTGCTTTATCACAACTCACCACCTGAGAAAGACCTGCTTTGCTGTACCCAGGAGGAACTTCACGGTGCAAAGACTCGAAAAGAAAATTCACCCAAGCGCTATGCTGCTGAAAAGTCATCACCCTGGGCCACCGCTCGCCTGCTGAAGGCATAGTGCAGTTTTATCTCTGAGTCAGTTGAGCATGTCATCTTGTCATCGTTTTTCAAGATCAGAGAGCCTTTTTCCAGTTCTGGTTCAAGTTGGCTTCCATCTATAATAGTTATTTATTTATATACAATAAATAAATAACAACGACATACAAAAAACGGAGATGATCACACTGAGAGTTCTCCAGGCTAAACGCTTCTTCTCTCTCTTTTTCGACTGCCGATGTTAGATCCGATTTCGAAGCAACAAAGATCTGTTTGATCCATGTTTCATCCCAATGGTCTGATGGTCATTCTTCCCCCATCAGGTCAAGGGATATGTTGAAAAAAGGGAGTGTTATCCCTAAGTGGTAGAAACGTAATCGAGGCACGGAGTGACGCCAGCATTCGCTGTGCAAGAAACATCATGGTCATATCGGATGACCGAAGAGCCAATTGAACGCCAATTGCAGTGACTGCTAAAAGCGTAAGTGAAACCGGTGATCGATCAAAAAGAAACAAGACAACAAGAAGTATATCCCCCAATATATAAGGTGTGGGTGGGAGGGTAAAAACCAGAAATAAGCATAAAACGCATGGAAGCCAACTTGAGCCAAAATGTTACAACATTAGTAGATGAAGTCCCACTACCCCAAAACATTAGTGAACAAGTACACTACACGTTCTGGTTCAAGTTGGCTTCCATCTATAATAGTTATTTATTTATATACAATAAATAAATAACAACGACATACAAAAAACGGAGATGATCACACTGAGAGTTCTCCAGGCTAAACGCTTCTTCTCTCTCTTTTTCGACTGCCGATGTTAGATCCGATTTCGAAGCAACAAAGATCTGTTTGATCCATGTTTCATCCCAATGGTCTGATGGTCATTCTTTCCCCATTTCCTATCTGACTGTTCGGATACAAACGCATCAATTAACGCCAATAACAAGTGTTGAATTCCAGCAGTCGATGAAAGAGAGAAGGAAAAGAAATTCTACGGAGGTTGCCATGATAGGAAAGTGTCAGGCGGATGCAATGAAACGGATGTCTCCGGATGCCACAGCTGTTCAAGCGAGATCGAACAACGATTATGTAAAGCATGATTGAAAGGTCGTTCAGATACAAAATCCCAACGGCTCAGCGCATCAGCTTCTTCATTTCGATCACCAGAGATGTGTGATAGATCCAATTCCATTCCAGAAATTGTGCAGAGTAATGTCAATCGTTCCAAAAAATGATTCAAAGGAGACTTGGTAGAAAAAAGCTTGTTTCCACCTGCTTCAGTACCTGTATTGTCTGTCAAGGAAGGAATTCGTAATGGAAATCTGAAACCAGGAGAGCTACGGCTGAAGATGTACAAAATCGCCATCTGCGCAAGTGTTTCAAAAGATGCAATGCATTTTTGCATTTCTTTGGTGACTGGAATATCCAGGGCAGCAAAATCGTTGAAAGTGAATTTCTCGCTGAACCAAATGGTAGTGCCTGAGGGAAAATAAATAAACCCCCAATCTGACAGATATCCGATGATGCCATTGCATCAGCTGCACAACGGCCTGACCAAAGTTGTTTAGGGCGCAGGCATTTCACCAAAGAAACTGATTGAAGCCAATCTGCGTAAAGATGTAAGACTCGATGTGAGTCAGCACTCAATGTTCTTCGAATTGAGGAAGGGTCACGAAGCCGTAACCAAGTTCTGCGCTCGGACAGGTATATCTGATGTAAATCAGCCTTACAGGTGACAGCTTGGTGTCTGACTGCTAGCAATTTGCTGCCAAGAGGAATGCCAGTGCCAGTTGGTTGTTTGACAAAATGTAAAGTGTCATCCAAGCAATCAATGACGTGTTTCCAATGTCCGGGATCAATGCTGTAATGGCTGGCAGGTACATGATACAAATCGCGATATAAAATTGGGAGCCAACATCTCATCAGCAAAAATATTTGCGTGATCCAATTCAGTAAACCAACTTTTTTCCAGGGATTTTATGATTTTTTCGAGGTCCTGGATGATTTCCGCATGGGTGAGATGTACTCGGCAAGTTTGTCAACTTTGTTCTGCGGCAAGCTGATAAACCCAGCGGTGATGTGAAATTGCCAGCCTATCCATTGAACTCGCGGCCCAAACTCCGTTTTGCGCCAAGAGATGGGGATGTGCAACACTTGTGCTAAAATACAGCACAAGCTAGCCATGATCCAAGCCACCTTTTCAGGAAAAATGAAAAAGAAATCATCAACGTAAAGGAA